AAATTGTTGCAAGTTGAAGGTTAGGTACTGGCAGCCTACATTATTTTTTTATAGAAAAACAAATAATTGTCAATGATTGTTACAATAAAAAATATATGTTGAAAACTGAATATCATTTTATTACTTTATCTCGCCGTCAATATATAATTGAAAGACCGCACAACATAAATTTTTAACAAAAAGACTTTCTACACCGGTTTTCATTTCATTACCATGTCAAAATAATGAAACATTGAGCCTTTTGAGTGAATTTGCTAAACCTACGTATTGTAAAGTACCATAATTTTAAAATAACTATGGGCTTTATCCAAGTCGATACCGGTCAATTTCACAATTACCATTGTAATCGAGACTAAACTGGTATAAGTTTCGACAAGAAGTCGATTAACCGAAAGTAAAATTATTAAGTATCTTTCACCCAGGCAACAGCATTGACAATAGACCTTTGTTTTTTTAACAAAAACACCATGAGTCACTCAATACAGCCGTAGGAAATCGTACCGCACACGAGGATTTCTTTGGAAAGGCTCCAAATGAAGATATTGTACAGAAAATATCTCAGGTCGACCCACTGAGGATTCAATAGCCTCAGGTAACAAAAGCGTGTTTATTCAAACCAATGTTGTGTGTAATTGCCCAACTCGAAGCTGTATTAATAAATACAGTTGTTTACAAAACATTCTAGAATACAGAACACTATAAACACGTATTCTGTTTGTAAATAAATCGTTGTATATTAAAGAGAACAATAAAATTCATAGACTAGGCCAGTGTCTCCCAACCCTTTTAGTACCATGCCCCACCTTAGCCTCTAAAATTGTTTAACGGAGGGAGGGGGAGCCCATCTATGTAGCATACATAATATTAATATTAAAAAAATTATTGTTCATTTATATTAAGTTACTTACTTAAATAATAGGTTTCAGGATCATTACGAAATGGTTAATGAAACATTAATTAAAAATTCTCAAAACATATAATGAAAAATTTACGTTCACATTCCATATATATTTAATAGAGTCCATTTTCGAATTGCCCCCTTAACAATGAAATTGACCCCCTGTGGGGCGTGGGCCCCACGTTGTGAAACACTGGACTAGACTGTCTACGTATTGACGTTCCGCTGTTCCACATATAGATTCATAATTATTGAGTAGTACTTACAACCTATTAATAGGTATTGTACTAAGTCTACATGGTTAGCCTTATCTATATTATTTTTTTGCTTACATAGATAATTAATTTGCTTGAATATTGTTTTTTTTACAGTCTTACAATAAAATAGGGTACGAATGTTTAGGAGGTACGCATTTGCGTACAACATTTCTTAATGATTTATAAAATAATAGTAAGAAGATGAAACGTTTTTGGGATGATAATTGGGAGTGGATAGAAGCGGAAGGCGGAAGATAATAATCTCAGGACAATTCACACAACGCCATCTACACCCAAGTTAAGCTAGCTAAAGCTTGTGTTATGGGTACTAGCTAACTGAAACGAATACATACATATATATTTTTTTCTAAATACATACATATTATCCATAGAAAACACCCAGACTGACACAAACAACTATACTCATGAATACAAGTGTTTGTGCCGTGCGAGGAATCGAACTCGCGAGCATCGGAAATAAGGCGGTGTGTAAAACCGCTAAACCATCGAGGTTACCAAGCCACATGGTGAAAGACATTGGAAAAGGCCTATATCCTACACAGGCTGAAAAGATACCTGGAATCGAATATTAGTATTCATTTTGGCATCGATCCGATTAACCTTCCCATGTGCTTCCATTCCAAACGCCTTGGCCATTTTTAAACCATAAATTAATGTCCAGTTAAATTCATTTTGATTTATTTTCATTCAGTTTTAATGACCGACTCGACCTGCAGTAAAATTGGCAAGTAAAATAAATGTGGGCGTTATATTATTCGTCAAAATAAAATGCTAAATCGACATGTAGTTGATAAACAGCAATGGAAGCTGTACAGACACTACTATGCTTCCATTGCTGTTCTTAAAATTACCTACTGATGTAAAATCTGTATCATTACAATATATCATTGGAAGCCAATGTCACTCGGTTATCTCTTTATATATATATATATATTAATGTAAAGGATATGCCGTGGAGATAAGTATGTAGATTGATATAAGCTGAACTGAAAATATATGCTTTGCTGTAATTGTAATGCAAATTACAATATATTTTATGTGTATTAAAAATACTAAATAAAAAATACTTAGAAATCCTATAATTAAAGTATACAATATAAAATACAGTATCTTTAGTATTTGTGTAATTATCAGCCTGCAAACTTCTATGAAATGAAATGAAATGTTTATTTACAGAAAATAGTAAGATGATAGTAAATATTGGCAACTGTTTTATTACCCCAATTCATGACGAAAATTATTAATATGTTTTATATTATAGTAAAACATAATTATATACGACCATATTCGATGATTCGAACGACTTTCTCCAAGGACTACAGATCTATCTTAATAATATATAGAGTCTTTGGAGAAAGTTGTTCTGAACATTTATGTAATTCGCAACCTGTAATTCAGGGGGAAGGGGATTGTTAGTAATGTGGACTAATGTCCCCATTGTTAGCAATGTACCATGTCAGATCGACCTCCACGCAGTTCCCCCTGGAAGCCATCGTGATACATTCCGGTGAATTTGTCAAGTTGGGCTAACTGACCTGATATCATGTTCACCTTATCATCCTCCACTGGTGCCCCGCCAGCGTAAACCGTTAGCACAGGCGGGTGCAGCATTCCATTATCATCCTTTAAAAAAAATCCTGTAATTCACAACCTTTTGTTTCTTTTGTTTCTTTCTACGGGAATTTAATATCAAAGCAAGATTTTCCACCGCATGCCTCCGTAAAATGTTCAAGTTCTTTCGTCACATCGCTCGGAAAGGTCATAACCTGGAGCAGTTAATGGTGTCTGAGAGGGTGGATGGTAATTGCTCTATAGGGCGTTGCCCCACAAGATGGTCTGACCACGGTTATCGTGGGACAGCACTTTCCCTGATATCCTTCATTATGCAAAGACCGACATAGATGGAGGGGTGTTAACAGAGAAGTAGTTCTGTAGGTTTTCCACGATTCTCAGGAATAAGGAATACGGGAGATTTGAGGAGAAGATAGTAATATTATAAGGAGAAAGATGTCTTAAAGGATAAAATCAAAAACTTCCATCTCTCGACTGATTTAAAAACTCAATAAAATCTTGCACCTATATTTCTACATTATCAGCGAGTAACACGGGTATTATACACGTGTAGCGCCACGTTATACAGCCAGTATTATATACCTAATTCATAAGTTAATGGTAAGAAATAAGTAAAAATAAATAACCCTGGACAATTAACACAGCGCCATCTTGTCTCATGGTAAGCAAAGCTTGTGTTATGGATACTAGACGACTAATAAAAATACTTAGACTTTTTTGTAAATACATACATAATATACATAGAAAACACCCAAAACAATCATACTCATGAAGTATCAGAAGTAAAGCAGTCTGCAAAACCACTATACCATCGAAGCCGGCGAGAAATGTTTGATAATTCAAAACTAAATCTAGGTATATACCCTTAGATTGTGGAATGACTACCTACCGAAATTTTCTCACGCGACTACAGCATGGGGTTTTCCAGAATGGTATATTAAGGTTTCTTAAGGGTCGGCAACGCGCATAACAGCCCTGGTGTCTCAGGCGACCATAGGCTACGGTAACCATTTACCATCAGATGGGCCGTATACTTGTTTGCCCCTGTAGTAGCACAAAAAAGCTAAATATAGGTTCACCTATAAATTCCATATGTAATCAAAATAAACAATTTATTTTTACATTACGTATTATGACGAGTCTTACACAAGACCAAAACAGTCGTCACATCGAGGTCGACTGATAATGTCTTTTTATCATGATCGACATAACATAGGTAATCCATCATGTTTTTTTTATTGCGCTTCACCAAATATTTTTTATGTTCCGAGATCAATTTATATAAAGATATGATGATCCTTTAGATGAATTTGACTAGGTTTTCATATCCATTATGTTTTTTTCTTAAGCCTGATTAAACACTATTTTTTTGAGATGAATTCATGTAAAGATATGACGAATTTTTATATGAACTTGACTAGATTTTCATATTCAAGCCAAGGTCTTTAAAAAATATATTTTTAGGGAATGTCGGATAATGGGTTATTGTACATTATTGAGTATTGTCCTTGATAAATAAGTTAGTAGGTCTCTCATTCAAAATATAACCATAATACGGTTATATATCTTTACATAGTATAAAACATTCACGAGACAGTCACGCCGCTATCTGTTCGTTTATATCTTTTTAATTGCGTAACGGATTTTAATGCACTTTTCAGCAATAGATAGAGGGATTCAAGAGAAAAGTTTATATGTATAATACAAGCGTGTTGTAGTATAGAACAAGGTTAAAAATTCAAGGATTTCATATCCATCCGTGCGAAGCCGGGTCAGCTCGCTTAGTTACCTATAAATGGGCGTTTAATTTCCTTTATTCTTAAGATGTTTTATATATTAATATCTGTATTATAAGTATACATAATGCATATATAATGCTATAGCATTATTTGTATTTCTTTTATTTAATGAATATTTTGGCATCTTTTAACTGTTTTTGCTAATTACTATATAGAACTTCATTGGATGGCATATATTTTTAAATCAAATGTTAGGTTGCAAATAGCTTAAAACATCATTAAAGACCAGTTCCAGAAGACGGCCCCAGCTTGTAATTGCTTGAACTGTTTAACAAATTACTGATAAATTATAGTTATTAGTGGTTCGTAATATTGCCCGCTTAAGTGACCCCGAGAGGTCGCCTAATGGTCAATTATAATAGGACTAATAGAATAGGTAATATTGAAGTTCTGGTGTTGTTTGCACTAGATATTACGGTCGTGTTATGTAATCAATAGAAATGAAAATAAATATTATGGGTATAATAATCTTCATAATTTATTTTTATCTTCGTTCAATTTCTTATACAATATGTATTCAGTATAAAACAATATTCTTTGTTATATTCATAGAAATATATTATTTTAGTAGGTATAACTGTTCTTTATAAACTTACAAATTATTGTTAACATTCTGCGAATCATTTTGTATAAAAATAATACAAATTAGGATGGGCCGGCCGCGTGAGGCGTTCGGAGAACAAATTGACGACCCCGCACGTGACCAACCCTCCACATAACAATTTCAATTTGTTAATTGGTATTATATTACTTACAATAACCTACAGAAGACAATGGTACAATTCTTTATCGTAGCACTTTAATATGGTAACAAAAACAATTAAAATAAAGGCTTTTAGTTTACAAAGCGTAGGCACTCGAGATTGCTACTTCATCCTAAATGTACACACTCAATAATAAATACTTACGTCTCATTCACACGTCGTCACACACAGACAAGACGGTCGCTCTATTACGAAATGCACTCCCATACATCCACAAATAATATTAATCGGACGGCCTCGCGTTACTCAAGTCACGTCCTCCATAATAAAGAGCACCGGGTCAGTTCTGAGAAAACATTAAGCATGTATCGGGAAAACCTCTTGCAACAACTCACGCTTTCTCTTTCGCACGAAGGCACACGAGTCTAACATTCGATCAGTCTCACATACATTCTGTCTTAAACGATAAGCTCAGCGGTCAATGGCGTTCCCCCGCGGGTGATGAAACACCATTGTCGCCGAAAAGTTAACCTTGTGCAACCAAACTGATTGGGAACGTCCGACTGCTGAACACATGGCCGCCATTCCGCGAGGGCGGCGCAGGCGGAATTTTAATTAGCAGAACATCCGCTCGTGACTTGGTTCGATGCGCTGTTGCCAGTCTTACATGCCGCTATCTCTTTCACGTCCATACAGTGTTTCATTTCTACAATCTGACAGATCCGTGTAGTCTGTTCAACAAGTTGTTATCAATTCATGACCCGAGTGAAACTGTCATAAAAACGCTTCAAGTAATATTCAAATCGTATGCGTTCAGCATAAACAATGTAATGAAAACACTGTCAAACGAATACGAAGTGCGGCAACATCGCAGAAACGGGAAATTCGCCGTAAAACTGGCAACGTCGCGTCAACCTCGTTCAATTTGCACACAAATGACGTTGCACGATTATCCTTTCTAGTTTCTACACTATTCTAAATGAGACAACGCGATACAATACTGACTTTAAGGGAAACAATATTCTGCAACTTACAATGGAAGTTTGGAAGTTGTGACTCGCGCTAAGTACAGTAACATCCCTTTAAATAATTTCACAATCAAATCTCATAACGTAGCAGACGAGCGGAGTTCTGCCTCAGCGTATCACTGGCAACCTAATCTCTCAAACTTAACGATAGTCCACAGCATTCTTAACGTAGCGACTTCAACACCTTACACACTAGTGTTCTCTAACTATATATTACACAGTAAAATTAAGATCACAAATTGCTTTGTATGCTGCGTCCTAGCGGGCGCGACTAGCATGGAATGTGGAGGAGCGACGTCGGCGGCGCGATCAGTAGTGCGAGTCGATATTGCAACCGCCGTGTGCGTGCTCCAGCACCTGCTGCTTCAGCCGGTGGACGTGGTCCTTCAGTTTGACCACCATCTGTGCCAGCTCCGCATTCTCTCCCTTCAACACTTTCACCTTCTCCTCCAATTTAGAGATACGTTCGAGCTTTCGCCGTCTGCATTTGGAGGCGGCGACTCGGTTCCTCTGCCTCTTCCGTTCTAGTTTGATTCTCTCCTGGCTGTCCATGTCGATAGGGGATAGGGGTGGCGAGCTGGCCGCACTGGGGACGGTCTGGGGCTCGTCCTTCACGACCGGAGTTGGGTAACGTTCGAGCGGGCGGTCCAAGTCGGCGTACACACGCCGACCGAGCGGCGTTACGACTGTCGGGTCGCTGTGATGGAGCTTGTCCAGCGCCTCAACGAACGGCCTCGCGTACATTTCCTGTTCTTCCGTTGGAGCTGCTGCAAACATCGCCGCGTTCGGTGTTGGTGTTGTGATGATTCCGTTTTGGATTATCATCTTCTCAAGCTCAGGTGAGCCCAGCTTCAGCAGCTGGAGGTCGGGTGAGGAGAGCACCGGAGCGGCGACTCGCGCACGCTTCCCGCCTCGCCCAAAATCCAGGTCCAGGGTTAAGGAGCGCTTAAGGCTCTCCACGGGTCCACTGAGGGGATACTGGTCTTCATAGAAAGTGGTCTCCATGCCGTGGCCGGAGTGGCGAACCATGTGTTTACACTGAACGCCTCGACAACACTAAACTCACTGCGCGAAGTTGAAAACTTTTTTTATGCAAGTACACACGTCCGATACGTTCGAAGTTCCACTTGTTTCTAAACATTGTTAAGAAACAACCACTGCTTTTATTTCATGACTCAGATAAGCTATTTTTAGACGTAACGCGATATACAAGCACGCTGATTGGTGGCATATCGCGTCATACGTGATAAAGCGGCGCTACGATTGGTCCGTCAAAATGTAGCGTAGCGCGAGGCCGCAGCGGGCTGTTTACGACTTGGTGCGATTACCGAGAATCAACGAGACCGTTTCCAATGTATTCACGAACACAGATGAAATGTGGAATATTCAGAATTATGCATAATAGCACAATATACACAATATTTTCTTCAAATTACCTTATTTATATAATTTCAATTTCAAAACTACTTTAAACAATTCTACTTTCAACAAAGTGAATATGTATACTTAGTTAATTTTAAATTAAGTTTTGTTATGTAATAATTGCCAGACTAACGTGTATCCTAAATAGTAAGTTTTAATTCCCTAACGGATAGGAATCATCTCATCGATTATTTGGTAATGCATGATAACTGCTAATGAATGCGGTAATACTGGTAATATGACGTATCTGAAATTCAGAGCACGAACATAGCAGAAATAGTTTCATAAATTTATTGGAGCATAATTATGAATATATAAAACTTATCACTAGTATTATAAAAAAATCATAGATAGCGTCTTTTTTTAATATTAGTCAATTACTATATTTTTAAAATACTTGATTACAAATTAGTATAATATTGACTTAACTAATTATGTTCGATATCACGTATACATACACTTACACATTAATGATAATGATTCTTAATTGGCTATTACAATTATAAGTGTGTCGATTATTATTATTACCTGTGAGGCTTCACTCAATGTTAGTATTTATTAGTTCTGTTTATACAATATGTTCATGTTATACATATAACAGTTTCCGTCTGCCTGTGTAGACGCGATACTGTCAAAAACTACTGCACGGATTTTGATGAGGTTTTTCATCTACTAACACAGTAATTGCTGATAAAGAATTTGATGTATAATAGAATGTTCTACTCGTCGTACGAAGCCGGGGCGATCACTGGTGTTTTGTAAAGAATTGTTTAGCTGTAATAACTGCTGTAATAATTGATATAATTTGATATCATTGCTCTGTAGCATAACAATGACAAATTTATATTTTAGCCTTTCAATGACCGATGATAATAGCGTGAACGACTGAAATATTAATAAAATACTACAAATAAAAAAATACAAGATATTAAATAATACATTTGTGCAATGGAAACGCGCAAATTTGGGCGAGGCGGAGGCGGGGTAGCCGCGCAGCGCGATGCAAGAAAATAATATGCGGGCTGCGACGCGAGGCGAGAGGTAGATACATAAAATACACAAGAGCGAGCGAGACAGATAGCGATAGCACCTTCCATCCCTCTCGCCCAACAGATAAGTTCAACACTAAATAGAAGGAAAACAAATGCAACTAAAAATTCCTTAATTTATGTTATGAGGACTTGTTTGACTTCGTTAGGGTTCACCTTGCATTTTAAAGTATTTAGAAAGATAACAACGCGTAACTGGACTCCTCGAGTCGACTGCTTTGAAATCAGCCGTCTATTTACAAATTCGGTGTACCTACCTAGTAGAATTTATTCATGGACCGTTGAAGCGTGAAATTGATTTGTACACCTATCTAATGAACTTGGCACTATTTGAATAATAGGCATCCAGTAGAAATAATAAGTACCTACGTAGGTCAATAAATATCAACATAATATGTAATGATACCCATCTATATCGTCATCATCATTTCAGCCCGTGTCTATTCACTGTTGGATATATGCCTTTCCCAAAGACTTCCACCATGTGCGCTCTTCCGCGTTCCGCATCCATCCACTCTCGGACATCTTCGTGATGTCGTCGGTCCATCTTGCAGGAGAGGACTCATACGCGGCCTCCACTATATAAACTTCACTTTTTCGTATGAAATCATTTTCGAATATTTCAAAATTAGGTCCATAGATAAATAAAATCTTTATTCGTATTGAAAATATTACAAACAACATTAACGCTACAAAATATGTATTATATATAAAAAACAATACACTTTACTTTATACACGTAAATTAAAAACATAATATAACAGAAACATACCTACCTCGCTACAACTACCTACATAACTACTTGTTATTTTGTAGATAATGATAAAATGGTCCTGGGTGCCAGATTATATGATAGAATATTTTGTTGTTCAATAATCTATGCCCCTTCTGACTATTTCGTCTTAATAAATATTATAAATACGAAAGTTTGTTAGTATGGATGGTTGTTTGTTACTCTTACGCAAAAAGTACTGAACAGATTTCGATGAAACTTTGCAGTAATATAGCATATACAACAGAATAACACATAGGCTAAAAATATCAAGCGGGCGAAGCCGCGGGCACAGCTAGTTATATATAAAAAACACAAAATACACTAATACAAATTAAAAAAATCAAGTAAAATGAAAACAAACATACCTACTTAGCTAAGTAGGTAGGTAGATATGTTTATGTATATAGGTAGCTACCTATATATATAACTTGTTATTTTATAAATAAAATAGCAAAATGGTCCTGAATGCCAGATTCTGTTTGTTAAGCAATAAGCTATGCCCCTTTTATTTCATATGCAATATTTATGTATATATGACTTTTCGACAGCGTCCTAGTCTCGATTGAATTCGGGGAAGACATCTATTAAATTACTAGTTTGGCAATGTATTCTATCAGGTCACTCTCTACGCTATCCTCTAGCCAATCGTGGTTAACTCTTGATGACTTCGCAGAAGTCATTTTATTATATATAAGTACGAATACTATAAGTATATTATGAACATAAAGTACTGTAATTTTGCGTCATACTGAGAATATTAAATAAAGAACAGCAGGCCAACCAACTGACTTATATAAGAGATAAAGGGTAAACTAAAAACACATCAAAGAATTTCTTCTAATAAATAAGAAAAATATCTTAAACATGCGAAAGGGAGTTAATTTAATTTTATAATAGAAACTACTTTACGCGATTTAATAAACAAGTGCTGCCATCTATACTCGATAACTGTACTTCTGGGATACTACAGTAGATGACAAGTGATTGTTATTTCACTATGTCTGTTCTATTGCAAAATTTTATTGTTCTTTTCTGAATTATTCATTATCAGATCACATAAATATGTTAACTAAATAACGTATAGAATATAAATGTAGACAGTAGTGAAAGTATATTCATTCCTCTGTAATGGTGGTGCCATCTATCGTCTTTTGACAACAATTAATATGATTATATTTCACGCTAGATGGCACTGTTTCATAATTTATCCATCGCAGGATTATATTAGCGTAAACGACTATTAGAAAATTTAAGTTATTATTTTCGTATGTAACTGATTACTCTTTACAATATATAATTATTGTTTGAGATAAATAAGGAGAAACTAGAAATATAATATATTAAATTTTTGATATGCTTTTTATGACTTCGGCTTGAACATTATAAGTACATACGTATTTTGAAACGGATAGTTAAAATTATTTGGGGATATAAATATAGGAATTCCAAAACTGCAGCATTTTTCTTACAACTTATTTAATAACTTATAAGTAATATATTACACCTGCAGTATATACAAATATACATGTGTGCGTGTAATAGTTATTTTTAAACATTCGGGTTTACTATACATTATTTATATTGTTAACGGGGACTTAACACGAATAATTTTATGGTAAATAAAGCTATTTACCTGTGTCAACGTTTCGACTAGGTTGCACTAGCCGTGGCCACGGACTAACGGCTGCACGGCAAGGGCAATCTAATAGAAACACACCTTTATACATACATATAAATAAAATTGGAGTGTCTGTTTGTAATATTGAAATAACCGTTTTTTACTACATGCATATGAATATAAATACGGTACATACACCAAAATAATATTTTTTACAATTTTTGTCTGTCTGTCTGATTGTTCCGGCTAATCTCTGAAATGGCTGGACCGATTTTGACGGGATTTTTTTTGGCAGGTAGCTAATGTAATAAGGAGTAACTTAGGCTGCTTTTATTTTAGAAAAAATCTTTTCTTTTAGAAAAATAAAGTTAAGTCTACGCCGACGAGGTCGCGTGTACAGCTAGTCTTATAATAAAATTCTCATGTGACAATGTTAGTTACCATACTCCTCAGAAACAGTTGACCGATTTTTATGAATATTTATATGCATATTCAGTAGGTCTGAGAATCGGCTACTATCTAATATTCCCTTATCCTCCCCTAATATTTCATTTTAAATTTTTTGTCAAAATTTATTTTTAAAAAATAGATACAACCCTAAATTTTCACCCTTCTATCACCAACCCGTATTTATAAATAGCGATTTTAATTTATATGGCAAAACAACCTTTACGGGGTCAGCTAATTCACCAAAAAATTATTCGTGTTAAGACCCGGTTGACAATATAAATAAAGTGTGCGTATAAATTTCACTTGACTGTGATGGAGATGATCCGAATATCTTCGTAGGGCTTGTCAGTTTTCGGGTTGGTCTTCACGCTGCCGATGTTCTGTACCACTTCCATGCCCTTCACAACGCGTCCGAACACTGTGTGCTTATTGTCCAGCCAAGGCTAAAACATATTCACATAATAATATACTCAAATTTGTAACTTCTTATGTATAAAATTCTTGAGACCGGTTGTTATGAAATTTTATATGCATATTCAGTAGGTCTGAGAATCGGCTACTATCTATTTTTCATACCCCTAAGTGATAAGGGTTGTCCACTTCTAACATTTTTTATTTTAAGGACAATTTTATTTTCATAATGTGGCATTAATAAGAACAGAAGAGAATAGAATAGAAAATCGTTTATTCAAATAAACTTAATTTAAGCACTTTTGAATAGTCATAACAATTTGTTTTTTTATCTACCATTCGTTCGGAAAGCTGTCTCATCACAAAAAGAACGAGCAAGAAACAAGTGTGTTGTTCTTTTAAATAATCCTTGTAAGTTTACATTTACAAGTCGAAATGTGTGAATACAAACTACCAACAAGCACTAATTTTTGGGTCAAATATAAATATGCAATAAGATTAAATCAGTCGTAGTGATAAGAGCATACAACCAAAAAATACATACAACCTTAATTTCCACCCTTCTACCATCAACCCCTAGTTTTTTATAGTTATTTTAATTTATATGTCAAAACAACATTTGTGGGGCACACTAGCTGACCCCACATATTATATTTATTTATGGTGTTTACCGTGGGTGCGAGGGTGATGAAGAACTGGCTGCCGTTGGTGTTGGGCCCAGCGTTGGCCATGCTCAGCGTGTACGGCCGGTCGTGCTTCAGGTGCGGCCGGAACTCATCAGCGAACTCGCCGCCCCATATACTCTCGCCACCGGTGCCGGTACCTATAACAACATATTGGAATACCTCGGTGCTTTAAGATCTATGAATATCATCTAAATTATCAGTAACATATTCAGAGGCAGCAACATTATATTAAAATTGTTGTGAACAGGCGTTAGAACGAGATCCACAATAATTTTGTGTATAAATTCAAATTAAAAAATATTTGATTCTTGTAGGACATTTTAGCCGCCTATGAACGTAATTTTTTTTATATATAAATTTCCCTAACGTCCAGATCAAGCAAGAAACTCAATTGATTTATTATTTTTGTTTTTTAAATGCCAGTTTATTTACAATGTATATTTATATAGGTGTCTGTTTAATATGTCTAAGAATAAAATATTCCGTGCATGAACTACATATATTATTTATATATATGTTTTATAGCCATTTTATATTTATCATAGTGGAGAATTATCTTACTAGTCTGTATGTGTTGGACCGGGTCATTGGTTGAGAACGAATTCTGCTTGTAGATACTGTCCGTCTAGTCAGTGTTTAATATTTAGACTCTATAGTCTGTTTTTTAAACCTGGAGACAAAATGTACAGGTGTAAATGTCAAACTTTCAAGTAATGTTATCACCTATAACGGGGTAGTCGTGTATCTGCGATACCAATTTGTTTAGTAGATAACTTAATTTTTAAATATTATTTTTAGGTTTAATTGACGTTTCCATAACAGATTTTCAAAATTTACATACCTATAAGTACTAGTGTTTCCATTACTGTCGTTGTATTATACAACATACAATATAAAAATATATTTTTGTTGTTTCCATACAAAACGACAAAAATGTATATTTATGTTGTAATGCCTTTTAGTGTAGAAGTTGTCTGTTAGGTATTCTTACCGGTGGGGTCTCCAGTTTGCACCATGAAGCCCTTGATGACGCGGTGGAAGATGTGCCCGTTGTAGTAGCCGGCGCGAGCCAACCCGCTGAAGTTCTCTGCAGCTCGAGGCACGTCCTTACCGAATAGTCGTATGTGAACATCGCCGAGGGATGTGTGGATCACTGCCTCTGAATACACTCGCTGCACGCCTGCGAACATATATATTTTTTTATTTGTTTATTGCACAATATGGTGTATAAAAGGCGAGGTTAATGCCATATGGCATTACCTACCAGCTAACCGACATTGCTAGCTAGAAATTAGGGCAGTCATGGCAAAAAAACTGTGACAATAAAATAAATATTTATACACGACACAATAATCATCCTTGACAGAGTAGTTGGTTTTGCCGTCAAAAAACTATCAATATATCCTCATTCATTTTTAAATAATTTCAATTTTTTTGTCAGATACATTGGATCAAGGAAGAAGACTAAACAGTCACTTCTACAAACTGACAACTTACCTTGGCCTTCTGTGGCTGATATGATATCCTCCTTGGAGGGTTTCTCATTGAATATATCCCTGTCTACGTCAGGGCTCTTGACGTCATCCGGACCCCGCCGTGAGAACATATAGAACCTGTTCTTCTTGTATGCAGTGCAGAATAACGTAGGATCAGTCTTCACATTCAATAGTGCAGGGTTCTCTGACCCTTCCATTTCTAGAGTTGCCGCTACCTTCGATTGATTTGTACGACCCTGGAAAATAATTTAAATATTTAAGTGTATTAAGGTTTTACACTCGAAATTTCTCGGTCGAAAATTTTTTCTTTGTTAACGTTTTATTTAAATTTTTTCTTTGTTAACATTTATTAATATTTTTATTTCTCGAAAAACTGGTGAAATAAAATATGCCGAGGAATCAAAATCGTAGTGTATAAATGTGAACCTAATTGTAGTAATAATTTTATAATATTAATTTATGTGGGTATATTGCACGGTTTGTATTGCTTTAGAATATAGAATTACCTCATTAAAATAAAATCAGTTCGAGAATGATCTGACGTTTTACTACAATACTGATTCAATAATCTTAATGATGTTGTACTTTTTGAAAAGAACTGACAAGGAACTCAACTGGTACATTTTTTTATTTATTTCAGCCCTTCAATATTACGTAGCGTAGAAAGTAGTTAAATCTGAACTGGAAGGCAGGGTTCAAACATATGTAATAATAAGTGTAATATGGACTCTATTCACCGCTATATCTATAATACGAACTATATAAAAAAATAGATAAATAAAAAAATATATTATGTTAAAACGTAATATTTCTTTTTATTTATTTGTAAGTGGTTAAATACATCTAGTACCATGTCACGTCTAGTACCCATAACACAAACTGCTTAGCTTGAGCCTAGATGACGCCGTGTGAATTGTCCTGAGATTTTATTGTAACGTTATTATACCTGGAAGAGCGCCAAATGCAGCGGCCTCAAATTCTCCGGCTTCCCGATCATGGAGACGCAGCGGTTGGTGACCAGGTTCACCACCTTCACCCCGAGCATGGTCGCGTACACCACGAAGTGGCCGCTCTCGTCAAACAACACGTTGGCCAAATGCACCGAATCCGACTTCTCCAGGTCCCGTTCCGCCGCCATTCTGCAAGCAGGATTGTTTTATTTATTTAATAAATAAAATAGTAGAGCAAACGTATATCTAATTTAATTTTCAACGAGACAACAGATCGAGCTGTGGCGCTCGCTCACCACAATGTATTCTTGTGAAACGAACTTCTTAGCATTCCATGGATTCAGCGTGCGGGTGCCGGGTCCATCGTGTGGCAGAGAGGAAAATTAAATTCAGTTCCTGAGACTTGTAACCCGGATGTAGGTTTTTCTATCAAATATGAATGTGCACCCGTCTACGCTAACGGTTTACGCGGCGAGGCACCAATGGAGGACAAGATGACCATGAGGTCAAGTCAGTTAGCCCATCATAGCAAAATTATCAGAGTGGCTTCCAGGGGGAACTGCGTGAAGGTCAACCTAACATGGTACATTACTAACAATGGTGTGCAGTCCACATTGCTAGCAATTCCCTTCCCCGGGTGTACGTTTAAGGAGTCTCTTTTCTGACGTACTTCAACACTCACTTTCGCCGCTTATTATTAGTTCTTTAACGCAGGTAGCCTAAATATACGTAGACTAGCGCAGAAAGTAGTCCACACCATATCCTAAACTTATGTAGTATTTGAAGTCCTACCTTTTTTATAGCATAGGGGAGAAACGGACATGAAATATGATGGTAAGTGATTACCGCCGCCCAAGAGCACCCGCAACACCAAGGGAATTGTAAGTGCGTTGCCGGCCATTTAAGAAGAAATAATCTTTTTTCTTGAAGGTTTCAATATGTAACGAATATGACATTAGTCTGAGTGCTATCTGTACTCGCCCCCTATCGTGTGGTGAACCTGTAAAGGTGAGCTGGGGCCAACAGTATTAGAATAGCTCGAAAATAAAAATTATAGGAATTATTAGTCCAAACAAATTAGTTTCTATTTTTACCTTCTGCCAAACTCCATATTGGGTAATTGTTGTGTCTGGTGCTGCAACTCCTGGAATCGCTGCAAGCTCTCGTCCAGCACTTTATGCAGTTTGCCGGACAGGAAGTTAAACACGCGCACCTATTACCATAATAATTATATACCAACATTTAGAAGATAGCTGAGATACACATATTTATTATTCTCAATAAATATACGTATCACACGTCTAAAACAAGGTATAGAATATATTGTAAAATCAGTAGTAACTAATTCTCATGTCTCATAAAAATGACATCTTGTGTAGTTGAAAGTATTGATATAGATTGTTAGTAATGTGGAGTAATAACCCCGTCGCTAGCAATGTACCATGTCAGGTTGACCACAACGCGGTTCCCCATGGAAACCATAGTTGTATATTGCCATTTACCAAGCTGGGCAAACAGACCTGACTTTAAGTTCATCTTATCATCCTCCACTGGTGCGTCGCCAGCGTAAACTGTTAGCCTTGCGCTAACAGTTTACGGTGAATCATTTCATTATCATCCATAAAAATTACCTTCCGATCCAAACTGATCGACGCCATTTTCTTTCCATCAGGCGAAAAGTCCAAAGCAGTCGGGAAGGTTTTGTTCTTCACAAAATCAAACAGGTCCGTATCCAGTTTGGATTTGAACTTGACGTTTTTGGGGAATTTATATTCATATTTGGGGCCCGTCCAATACTCTACTATGCCCGCTTTGTCTACGGACACTGCTGTTTCGTACACGGGATTGTACTTTATGGTGCTGACTGAATGTTGATGCAGTGTTTCGAACGTGTAAAGAGGCGTGCCTGATGCTTGCGTCCCGTCAAATATGTGGATTTTGCTTGTGTTCTTTTCTGATCTGAAATTATAATATATCAGGACAATTGACACAGCGCCATCTAGTCCTAAGGCATACAGAGCTTGTATTATGAATACTAGACAACTGTAACTTAAATGCATTTTTTTGTAATTACATACGTAATATACATTGAAAAACACCCAGACTGATACAAGCAATCAAGTCATGAATATAAATACTTGTAGCATGCGAGGAATCCAACCCGCGGCCATTGGAAGTAAGGTGATGTGCTAAATTACTAGTTTACTGAGTCAAATGGAAATAGAAATAATCTTTATTCTAATAAACTTAATATAAGCACTTTTGAATAGTCAAGTTTTTTTATTCTACCGCTTATTCATCACAAGAAGAATAAGCAAGCAACTTGTGTGTTGATCAAATTTAATTGAAATATTTAAATGTCCCATTTAAATGTTTCAATTTGCTGTATATACATGGAAGTTATTCGAGACAGTAATAAATGCAAAACAATATTAGAATTTTTGTCTACCTTCCTGTTGGTTTGAAAAGTCTAATTAGATTTTATTGCAAAGAGCAAGGCCTATTACTCACTAAACGATTACTTGAATGACGAGCGTGCATGGCAATAGTTTTCATGTACGGGATTTTCATATAATGTTACACATAGACACCTATATAAATACCTATACATTGTAAGTAAACTGGATTTAAAAAAATGAGTAATTCAATTGAGTTTCTTGCCAGTTCTTCTCAATTGGATCTATATACCGAACTGGACGGTAGGGAAGAAAATTATAATGTAAAAACTTGACGTTCATAAGCGGCTTCATAAATTTCCTACATGAATAAATGATTTTTGAATTTGAATATATGAATTGTTAGAAACGGCTTTATCACTGCACTCATATGTGCAGTTTAAAAATAAATTTGTAATTAGGATACTCACACAGCTAACGCAGATATGGGGTCTCCAGCAGAGTGAACCCACTCCGTGCAATATGGTTCAAATTCAATTGAAATCATGTTGATCATATCTGTTGAAAAATATAAACCGTGGTGTATAAATTGTAAGAAGGAACAATTGATTTCATTATAATACTTCTTTCATTATATTTTATCGATTTAGATATTATTTTGCAAAAGATCATTTCATTACTTATGCATTTATATTATTTTGTTTAAATCCGCTACCATTAGTATGTGTGAGACCACAAATATTTAGTTCGAAAACCTGACCACCGCTGCTGGAAGCGTTACAACTTTCTCTATTGGTGATCAAATTCCGAGGGTTATTGAATAACTTAGAAGGCTACTGTTGACTGTTTGGTGACCAAACTGCTACTTAGCTCATAATGCTTTTTGTAATTATTGTATCTTACTAATATTATAAATTTCAAACTTTATGATATAACTAGCTTTTGCCTGCGGCTTCACTCGAGTTAATTTATCCCCTTAGGGGTGGAATTTATCAAAATCCTTTCTTAGGGGATGCCTACATCATAGTAGATTTATGCATGCAAAGTCTCAGCCCGATCGGTTTAAAATTGACAAAGTTTCATATAAACTTTCATCCCCTATTTTATCCCTTTGGGGGTAGAATTAATCAAAATCCCATAACATCTACCTGCATGTCAAATTTCAGCCCGATCCGTCCAGTGGTTTGGGCTGTGTGTTGATATATAGGACACACTCAGATGAATACAAACAATCATACTTATGAATACAAATGTTGGTACCAAGCGAGGAATCTAACCCGCAACCATTGCTAGTAAGTCAGTGTACTATACAGCTAGAACCTCAGTCTTATTGACATCGGTCAATGTACATATGAAAAATATTTACCAAAATTAATAACATCGAAGACTTTGATGGCTTTCTCAGTAGATGCAGTACAAAGTAGTGTTCCGGTGCTGTTTGCTGACACATGACTGATTGTTGTCAAGTGGCAACGGAAGTGTTTCACAAACTCTATACCTTCCTCCTACAAATAATAATTTTATATTAATATAAATTAGTAGTTATTTATACTTTATTTTTGTGTGTGTAGTTTGTGTCTGTCTGTACTAACATTAACTATAACAAAACTACTCGATGGATTTATATTATTTTGTTTAATTCCACCACAATCAACATGTGGGTGACCACAAACATTCTGTATGCGAACTCTATTTAACGCCTGATGATGCCTCGTTCAAAGACGAAACACGTGTCGCGATATGGGTGTAAACTCAATAACGGTCGGAATTTGATCGCCACTGGAGAGGGTCGTAGCGCTGGTCAGGTTTCCGCACCGAATGTTTGTGGTCTCACACATGTTGATTGTGGCGGAATTAAACAAAATAATATAAATCCATCGAGTAGTGAAATGGACTTCCGCAAAATAACACCTAATTAGATTATATATATAAGAAAACTGTAATACTAACAAAATGGACAAGTAAGCTTGTTAATAGATAATTCATTATAAATAGATGATGATGATAAATTAACAAAGGCAAAATTGTTTCTCTTCAGTTCCACAAAAATATTTTTTTTTTCACATAACTGAAATGGCAAACTGATAGTCCTGATGGTGAGTGACATTCATAGCCTAGTAGCCTGAAATAAATAAATAACCCATGGAGGTAAGGGGATTATTAATTATGTGGACTAATGATCCCATTGCTAGCAATATATCATGTCAGGTTGAGCTCCACTCGGTTCCCACTGGAAACCATTGTGATAAATTACTGGTGAATTTGTCACAATGGACTAACTGAACCTCAACCTCATATTTATCCTATCATCCTCCATTACTGCAAGTATATGTATCATTCTCTCATTAATCTTTTAATAAAACATCTAAGAGAACTGTTGTGGAGTTAGGAATAATAACTTACCTGCTTCTTCCAAAATTTAAGGTGACCATCTTGACTCGCAGTGACTACAAAGTCTGTTTTAGTGACCAGTACATGAGTGACAACATCACGGTGCATGTAGCTATGCTCATATGTCTCGGAAGATGGTAAATTTTCTAAGTATAGAGATTCAAATTCCAATACTGAAATATAAAATGAAAATGAAAAATTATTATTATTTTAAAAAAAATTAACATCAAATAATCAATTCTTGGCAGGCAGTATCCTTTTTCTTTTATATCATTGGAACTGCAAACAGCCTAATGGTCCACCTGATGGTAAGTGGTAAGTGTCATCTTTAAATACTACTTATATATTATAATTATAAAAACAAATTATAGGTAAAACAAATTATTTACCACATTCATTAATTTTATATATTATAATTATAATTTGATATTAATTATGCTAAAACATGTGGTTAATTTTATAAAAATTTTGAAGCTTATTGAATCAAAATATGTTCAAATACATTCAAAATTTAGACCCTCATTATGTGAATCACAACAAAGTTAATTATCATAAACAACATTATTATCTTAATTAAACATTAACGTGCAAAATTTCTTTAAAAAAACCCAGCCTCGTGAATTCAATCTTCATAGGCAAATATTTTTTAAACAATCAGATTATTATTTAAAAAAGTAAGTTTTGAGGAGTAAAATAGAAGTTGATAGTTTGAATAAACAGTTTGTGCAAGTCGAGGATAACACCTATATAGTTATACTTAATGAACATATAAAAGTTATTAAAATGGAAAATTTTTAACCATGCTTACAAAAATTAATAAATTACTAGGACTACATATATAAAAAATTTGTAAATATAACCTTTTCGTTTCTTAGCTTTTGGTTTTGCCGCCTCTGAAGGCATAGGCCCAATCCACTCTTCGTCTTCTGCATCTTCAGATTTGTCTACACTACCACTTCTCTTTTCAGCTGACATAATAATAATAAAAATTAAAGTAATTGACTATAAATACAACATAAATTAGAAATTTGATGTCATAAAACAACAAACATTTTATTTTTATATATCAATCTATTGTTTCATTATTCATTCAAATCATTCACTCTGAAGTCTCATTCATACATGTTGTGTTGTCAAGTAGTAATAACTAAGCAAGTAATCACAATGTTTATGTAAATTGAAAATGAATTTGTGTTTTTGAACTTACGTTGAAAAGACAAGTTCTAAAGTATTCATAGTGGCAATGAAATAAATTTATTAATGCTAACCATGTCATAACTCATATTTATAAAATGGTAGGCTTATACTTTAAAAATATGATTTCCTATTAATATTGTCAAATAATTATTATTGGTGAATTATGCACTGAATGTTTTTATTGGTTCACTATTTATCAGTCATTGGATGATTAGTTGAAAACCATAGCCAAATTTAATTTGTTTTCATTATACACTTAAATTATTTTTATATTTTTAGAGACTTTTAAAATCAATATTTCTAATTATTAAACCTTTTTTAGTAAATTTAAATATTTTTATTTAATTTAAATCTAAAATCGTGTTTGAGTTTCACAATATTACAATTATTTATAGTCAAGTCACGTTTAAGAACTTTTTAATTGTCGGTGTCTATGCTCAAAATGTCTTTTACGAATTTGTAGTGATGGTGGCTGGCTTCCTCGCAAACTAACCGTCGTAAATTACAAGTAATTTATAAATTTTAATATAATTTTGGTCGTCTTACGATCAAAACAATAGTGACTTTAGTGCTCAAGGAGTTTTACTACTAAACGGTAAGTGTAAAGTGCAACAATCATTGTGAAACCGCGCGCTACCGGTACATCTACACGTGGTTTGGCTACAATACCGCGTTCGTAAGTCATCAAATGTGTTTTCATAACTTTATGTCCTATTAAAACATTATCTTACAAAACCACGTTGTATTTCAGTGAAAATCAGTTGTTTTTCAGTTAACGCGTCGTAGTTAGGTTGTTTATTGAACGTGTGGTTAATTTGACAAGCAGGCGCTTCTGTCACAAGCTGTTGAGGTAATTTACTGCGGAATGTGTGTTTTCCCAGTTTCAATTATGTACAAATAATGATATGTGGTCCGCAAATTACAATTAAAACCTATAAGACAATAATTTGTTGTTGCAAGTGGATCATTGCCAAGTGTTGCGTGCGCCCTGCGCTCAAGTTTTCTCTTTTTTTCTTCAGCTAACATTAAGACAATGACGCATCATAGTACTGTGACCTGTATGTGGAAAAGTTTATCATGTATACCTAATATGTCTAACAAACAGGTTGCAGTTGAAACTTTTACAATTTGAAAACAGTATTACCTTAACTTACATCTAAATAAAGATATTGGATATATCACACTGTAATGCAACTCACAAAATGGTTCTTAAATAATTGTAATTCTACTGTCTTATCTCCGGCATTTCTGCCATGAATTTTCATAAAAAATGTGTAAGTCATAATCTGATTTTATTTTGAATTTCAGTCAAATCTGTTCAGCCGTTTAAGCTAAACATCTTTTGAGAAAATTAGAAATGTTAATTTTTATTATTTTAAAATTAAATTTAACCATAATGATATTGAATGACTAATAATTTGAAATTGTACTCAAAGTGATTAGTCACACCTAAAAGTAATACATTAATCATAGTAAAGAAAATTTATTATTTTCACTTGTGTAGACTGTGTGATGTCAGTCTGTACCTATAATTGCCATTTGAAGGTTTTGTAAATAACTTTGGTACTCTGTCAATATATATTAATTAAGTTTCATTGTTTAAAGTGTGTTTTATGTATATATTCCTTAATTCAAATATGATTATATCAATGTTAAATTTTATAATAGAACTGAGGAATTTAACTTTACTTTATGGTCAATTATTCTCCTCGTATAAAAAAGTATATTTTGATATTATATTATAAATTAATATATTTTTATCGACATGTAATTTGCACAAAAAAGATTGTTTTAAAGACTATCTAAACTAGAATGGATGTAAGTATAAATAATAAAATATAAATCTAAAAAGAGAGAGGTGAATTAGGTTATGTAAAAGATGATATGACAAAGGGAGTGTGCATGAATGAAAAGAATGGAAGAAAAAACATAACCATCAACCCAAATTGATAGGAGGTTAAATTGTTAACAAATGAAAATATTAGAAAGAAAAAACAGCGAATATGGAAATTATTAAGCAGGAATGGCAGAAGAAGATTGTGCCGACCCTGAATGATATGAGTATAAAATAAGGAAAATGACATTAAAAATACATTACTTACATTTTATTGTCTTTTCTCTCTCTCTCTTCATTTTGATATCACTGAAAACCAGCTTCATAGAACAAGCTGCAAACTAAGGGGAGCCATTTCAGCATATTAACATTTAAATGTGTATAAACTAATATTTTTTTTATATGTACATATACATAAGTTATGCATATTTTTTTCTTTCTTGAAAGAAGTAAATAAGTATTTATTGATGACAGTGAAATTGTCTGTGGTATTTATTCTTTGCATGATAATGAATAGTGATTGTGTATAATGAGCACTTTCTAACACAGGTAGTTGACTGTTTTCATTACAAATACCATGACATGCAACAAAACATCAAGATTCAAGAGATTATTGTAAAACTTTTATTGTTCCTGTATAACTGTTTTTATTATATGATTTTACCTAATAGACATGAGACTATAATGTATTGTATGTTACAAGAAAATACATTCATTCTTCTGCTTCTTCCTTATCCCATTTATTTGGGGTTGGCGTAATATGTTTTCTCTTCCATTCATCCCTGTTTGCAGTGATCTCCTTATTTACTCCCTTTCTTTCCATATTATCTTTTACACAGTCCATCCATATCTCTTCTAAAAAGCATGTGGCAGAGAATAAACATTTGCTTTGTTTAATATATACCTTTTATTAATTGTTAATTCTAAAAAAATGTTAGTAATTTTTTATATATAGTATAATTTTTTATTAGGTGGGTTCTATATTTTAATAAAATTTACATAAATATGACAACCCTAGATTTAAGAACAAGTTACTCTGATAAGTTTTACAGTCTATTAGAAGTCCAGTTATCACAATCAAGTGATTGCCCTACTGACCTACAATTAGACTGCACTTGTATTAGAAAGTGAGCAGGTAGCTACAGCCATCTTTGTATACTGGCATTCATTACTTTTAAATTTCACACTGAAAATTCTCATCGTAACTAGCTTTTGAGTTTGCTGTTTTCTAAATTTCACCACTCTAAATTACACATTCTTTGTTTGTTTTTTGTAATATGAACCATTTTGATGTCCTAATGCACACAGTTTAATCATTCAGGACCTCAGAACTTGTATCTTTTAATAAATAACTTGAATCAACCTATACCTTTCATGGCAAGTTATGTAATAGTTTACTTCTTTAATAAGAAAATTTAAGGTGTCAAGTCGGATGGAAGTATACAAATTCAACTTAATACATATGTCAGTAAATATTTTTTATATGGTTAAAACATTAATTAAAAAATTAAAACAATAATGTAATGATTCTTGAACTATTAAATCTATTTTAATATAACTAATTGATTGTAATTTAACTAATAGATACTATCTTTATTAAAAATACTATATTTTATTTGCCAAATCTTATTGTCATATGTTGTAAGAAAGTGCCAAAATAAGGAGAATCATATATATGTAGGTTAATTTACTTTTTATGAAAAAAAAATGGTAATTATATTAAAATTATTGGGTTACTATATTAAAAATAAACTATTCTAACCATCTAGATTAAAAACAAATTATATTTATACACATTATTTTTTACAAGTGATATTATTTTTATATACCTTTCAATTTTATAGTAAAATACGGCAGATCACTTCGTAATATTATTTATTATAATACAGGTAATTTTGCGTTTTATTAAAACATAAAAACGAATCATAAACATTTCTATTGTATTGTATATATAATAAAACAATAACTCAAAATAATTCACACAGCACCATCTGACAGACCCAAGCTAAGCAGAACTTGTTATCAATGCTAAACAACTGACAGTTAAGTAATTTTCTTTTTAATGCATATATAATATGCATAGATCAGCCAGACCAATACAAATGTTTGTACCATGTGTGGAATCGAATCCACAACTGTCGAAAGGCGATATGCTAAACCGCTAGATCACCGAGGCCGTCAAAATACGTAACATATATACGATGTGTGTATAATTTGTTTTACCCGTGAGTTCATACGATTATTAAAGTATGTTATTGCTGTGAAGTTTCTTTTAGCAAATTACTATGAAGGACTACCTACCTACTTGGAGGTCACCTTTCATATTATACTAATATAAGGTGTATCTGATCCTGGTCTTGTCTCTAGATCCTATCCATAGTGAAGTAGTGGGTATATAGTACTAGACAATACTAGTTACCCTCTGCTTAGAATAGTTTTTTATTAACATACTTTCTATTTACTAAGCGAATGATTAAAAACAAGGACACGAAAGAATAGTTGTAATAAGAGCAAATAATCAATAAACATGAATGGTGGCATGTATTAGTTTATTTTATGTCGATTTTCCTATAAGAAAGGTCAAGATGACGCTCAGTCTCTTATAAACTGAATTCAAAATCTATTAATTGTAGCTAATATTTTTATTACCGCATTATGTTTCAATGCCCCGACGCTTGATTGTTGGAATGATTAATTCTTTCGAATTATGTATATTACATAAACTAGCTGTGCCCGCGGTTTCATCTGCGTGAAATGTATAGCCTACATGCTATTCTGTTCTATAAGCTATATTACTGTAAAGTTACATCAAAATCCGTTCAGTAGTTTTTGCGTGAAATAGTAACAAGCATCCATCCATAAACAAACTTTTGCGTTTATAATATTCATAAGATATACATAAATATAAAACGTCGCTTGGTTATTATAACGTCTCAATTGTTTTGCATTAGCGTACCAGTTCCCTTGTTATTTCTTTTATCATCTCCATTACATTGTGTTACGCCAATTGATGACAATCATGCGCAATTCGCCAAGATCTTGGCGCCTGCGCCGCCTTATCGGACCGGGTCAACACGTCACCGAAACTGATGGACGCGATATCTACATCTCACTCACACTCTGTTATTGTGATTGCTAAAGATAGGGATGAATGAACTTGTAATAGCTACACTTTAGTGAAGGGTGGATGGGTGAAAGAGAATATGGCGTAAAAGATTTTTTTAATGGATGATAGATGGTGGTAGATTGTGCTCCCTCCTGTGCTAACACTATACGGCGCATATACGCTTGCCGGTCACAAGTGAAAGATAATCATGTGAGTTATCCCATTGTGGCGAAATCACCTAGAATTAACCAGGTGTAGGTTGACCTGATATATTTAGCCATCAATTCTCCTTATTAACAACGCTTTCCCCCGGCTTAAATAGGTATATGTATAGGAAATAATAGGACTACCGCAAGTAGCAAAGAACATATTACCGCGCAAAGAACATATTGATCGATGAAACAAGATCATGAAAATGATGATGTTCAATCTTGTTCAAAAAATTTGATATCTTGTTTGTAATCAATAAATTAAAACCGATTGTAAAAATTCTTTCATCTAAAGAAAGCCAAATCAGCAAGTAAAGTGATAATGTAGGCTGTATTTTATTTTAAAAAAGAGTGAATATAGAAATCTATAATAATTGGACCAAACACGGAATAACCTAATAAACATATAACGTTTTTATCTCTATATACATTGTTAATTGCGGCCATTACATATTAGTGTAAATGTTTGTTGCAGCAATGAGTTCCAGTGTATGCTACAAGTGCAATAGGGCCGGCCACTTCGCCCGCGAGTGCACGCAGGGCGGTGTGGCGACACGCGACGCTGGCTTCAGCCGTCAACGCGAGAAGTGCTTCAAATGTAACCGCACTGGCCACTTCGCGAGGGACTGCAAGGAGGAGGCCGACCGTTGCTACAGGTGCGGTGCTTTTTTTAAAATAAATATTAATAAATGACCTTGGACAATTAACACAGCGCCATCTAGTCCCACTGTGAGCAGAGCTTGTGTTATGGGTACTAGACTATTCATATAAATACTTAGATATATTAAAAAAAAAAAGTTTTTCGTAAATATATAGAGAACACCCAGACCGATACAAACAATCATACTTATGAATACAAATGTTTGCACCGTGCAAAGAATCGAATCCACAACTATCCGAATCAAAGCGGTGTGCTAAACCGCGAGGCTACCGAGGGTGTCAAAAGTATTTGGCACCTATATCCCATGTGGTAGCTTACTTATGCTTAATCGTTCTCCTTTGGAAATTATACACTCTATTCTAAAGAGATAAAACCAATATATATATACCGTTCTATAAAAAATATCAAAGTATGCTGTTATTATAAACTACCTTGATTTTCGCTTTGTAAGTGATACGGCTGATTGCAGCTATGTAGCACAATGGTTATCACTTCACCACTGCACCGTTATATATGATGTGATGAGGTGTCGCTAGTCGCTACAGATTATATTTGTTTATTGTAGTATCTAGGTAGTGAGTATACCGGTGACATAATTATACTATTTATTATACTTTAGTAAGTTTATTAGTTAGTGTGCTACATGGCTTATTAATAACGCGTACATTCGATGCGGAGTTGTAACGTGGACTTACATTTAACTTAATTCTTAGTTATCTGGAGGAGTAAACTAATTGGAGGGTCTCGAATGTAATGATATGTACTTATTTCTTAATCCGGCCCTGTACATGTGGAGGTAACGCTTGTTTAGAAAACGCCATACATTCGATCGACACCTACCCGACCGTAACCTTGACCTTTCCCACGTATTATACCTTACACGTACAGCAAATGAAGTCTATGAAATCTTACACATTATATTATATCAGAAACCGACTGGACTTGGAAAAATATCCACCATATAGTTTTATCTTCAGGCCATATTTATGTGGTAGGCAGAGAGAAGCAGATCTTCCTTCGGTCAGCAAGTTCCGTCATCCTTCTTTATCGACAACTTGTGTCCTCATCCTTCCAGACACCTTTTGCTTTATCCCCCTCATTCATAGCACGTTGGTTTTTAAAACCCCTACTTCTCCATATTTTACCTGACCTTTTTAATAATCAAAACCGTTATGATTACATAGTAATTTTTGATACTTATGCACGTATTCATTTTTTTTTTTCAGTAATCCCACTGTCTTAAATCTTTCCATGATCTCTTGGTTTAGCACACTGTTTTAATGTTTGAAGGTTGCTGGTTCGAACCCTATATTTACTTGCACAGTAACTATTTACTTACTAGTATAAATATGGAACTGTATCTATTTGTTGATAACCATTTGACAACTGAATTGATAAGTATGAAATTTTGCGGGGCCTTCAAAATTTTCACACGACCCAAGTCATGGCCCTCAATTGAGGTTAAATAATGTAACTTTGTAGTATATAATTTACAACCTTAGACATGAATAAAAACTAATTGATTAGAATTTGTAATGTAGGTACGTCAAATTACATCTATCAATCAAAGTTCATGAGTATTTGTTGAACCGGTTTCAGGTGCTAAATTATAACAAATAATGTTTCATATTGTAAAATTATATAAAGTTTTCCTTAATGTTTGAAACCAAAATTATTTGTATCAAACAGTTGAATTAGAATAGCATCTGTAATGCTGTTTTTGTGATTTCCAACTTTAAGTAAATTATAAAATATAGATTTTATATGGATTAACACATGGGTTGAGATTACTTAAAATTACGCGGGCAGCGCTGTTAATATGTCACGTGTATACAATATATAATAATTGTTCTAATGAATGTCAAATGATTTTTTTTCTATCGTACACAGATGTAACGGCACAGGACACATAGCGCGCGAATGCACGCAAAGCCCTGACGAGCCGTCGTGCTACAACTGCAACAAGACTGGCCACATCGCGCGGAACTGCCCCGAGGGCGGGCGCGACAACTCGAGCCAGACGTGCTACAACTGCAACAAGGCCGGGCACATCTCACGCAACTGCCCGGACGGCACCAAGACCTGCTACGAGTGCGGGAAGCCGGGACACATCTCCCGCGACTGCAACGAAGCCGAGCGGAACTAACACACGCCCCGCCGCCAACACTATATATAACTATGTATATTATGATGCCACGCACGGACGATAAGCAAAGGACGCGATACGCGACACTAGATCGTAAGACCACACGACTGTATGAAATTATGCAACGGAATTATAAATCAGATCAGCAGGCAGCAGCGGTACCCTAGAGGCAGACTGAGGAGTATGGTTTTAAATGTTGACTTGTATATAGGTCTCCCCGCCGCGCGGGCAGCGCTCGCTATAGGTTAATGTTTGTTCTTGCACGGTGAACAAGTTATTGTGTTTTTAAATCATTTAATAAACGTGATTGAACTATTGATGAGGTAGCGTTACAGTTTTAGCATTACAGAGTATATATTTAATATATTTTGTACAGATTTTTTTGTCAAAAGATAAATTGGATGCTGGCGTACCATGAGTTTTCAATGGAAGAGTGAAGGCCCCGGAGGAACCCGAACCCCTACTGGACTCTCTTGTTCGTCTTGTCTCACAATACAGTAGAAATGTTGTACTTACGCGATGTCGTACTCCGGTCTCGTACGAGTCTCACTTTCACCATATCACTGATTGTGATTATTTTTTTTTCATCAATTCCTTTGTTTATGAGGTCCTGCTTAACTTGTGGAGAATTCAGTGATTAATTAGAATTTCATCAATCAGAATATTTTTTATTTTGTTATCCCTATCAATGTGCCTGTACTTGATGATACGTTCTATGTAAGGAGTTTATTCGGCTTTATTGGGAGATAATAAAATCTTGCCTTATTATATGTCAAGTTTCTCTTTGCCCTTTATGAATTGCACAGTGATTCCACTGAGGATTATAAAAAAACTATAATAAGTATCTCCCAACTTATTCAAATTATATGTAGTTTGTATTATTTGAGTTTGTTTGATTTTACCGTTTTTAAATCAGTTTGACAGAACAAGAGACCAAAACCCGCAATACCTATTTAATCCTATTTCTTACCATCAACTTTGGTCACATGAATATATACTTGTATAAATGAATTGTTTACAGACACACTATTTGTACTCATGATATTGAACGACTTTCCCATCCCCAAAGACTAAGTAGTGAGCTGTGAAGCATTTTATAGTAAGTGTGATGGTCATTACTATTGTAAGACATAAAGATATTGTATTTTCACTACTGCCCCTAAATAAATTAACTGTTTGCATTTATGATTTTGAACAAGACTGGATCACACGGTAAACTTTTTTTTACAGTACCGTCACGTCATGTGGTATAAAAATCTTACTCAAAGTATTTGCCAGTAAGAGAGTACTTTTAACTTGAAGAATTAAATACATTTTACAAGTGTCATGGAATTTGTTTCTACTTGTGTTATATAAGCATAGCCCTGCTTGCTGCAGGCGTTGTATATTATGAATACTCTAAATTATGCTGGCATTGCGGAAAGTAGTTCAGTTTCAGCGATTATATCAATAGTATTCTGTCTGTTATCTCTATGATTTCCTGTCAATATACCGAGTTTTATCGAGGTAGACTAAAATGGTCTATGTAGGTACCTATGGCACACCTATTTCAGCCGCGAAGCAGCTTTGCATGTTTCGTTAAACTGGTGAGATAAGATAGTAAAATTGCAGTGATTATCTACCTAGACAGTTATAACAGAGCCGGTAGAATTCCTAGATTATTTTTTAAGTAAATAATATTGCCCATGTCTATAAGGTTGCGCCTTGCTTACAATGATGGCGGGTTCGATTCCTCGCGTAATGCATTCCTATGTATGTTTTGTTACAATTAAAAAAAGTGTATTGTTTCAATATTTTTATCAGTTGTCTAGTTAGTACCCATAACTAGCTCTTAGTAAATTAGGTGACGTCTAAGTGACCCAGGTTTATTATTATAGATCCGTTTACGCGTGAAATGGTAAGTTACAGACGATCGGGGAAAGTTAGGAAACGAATATTTCTAAAAATAATACTTCAGATATTTTTAAACATAGAAAAACATTAGCCTGCTATAAGAAAAATATTCATAATTCAAAATTTAATAATGAATAAATACTGTAGTTTTTTTTAGATGACAATAATATTGCGCACCCGCCTTCGCTAACAATATACGATGGCAACCAGTGAAAAATAATAGTATAAGCATGTCAGTTCAGGTCAATTAGCCTATAGTGCCGAGTTCATCAGAAATTAACCGCATTGGTTTTCGGACTAACTGCGTGGAGGTTGACGTGATAGGTAACATTGTCAGTAATGGGTACTATTTAGCTCATATTAATGAGAATCCCTTCTCCAGTGTTTGTAGTTAGATTAATACTACTGTACAGTCAATAGTACAGTTTTAATTTGGAATCTAGAAAGTAGACTTCGTCATCACAGTAGGTGGCGCCACCATGTTATAATGTTAGTAATAAATGAACAGTTAACGTGAGTAAAATTATTAAATATGCAATGTACTGAGATCTAAAAATGGAACTAAAATATGTAAAAGTCAATTAAAAAAAGTTTCTCTTTTAAAGAAACTATTATAAATACAAGACCAAAGTAAATAGTAAAAAGCTTAAAAATCGAGAACGACTCATAACTTAGTTCTTTCTACTCCGAATTTTATCAAATGGTCATGAGCTCCAATCTGCTCAACGCTAAAAAAACTGCGTTACTTTCAATTTTTGACTCACTGTCTGAAAGAAGAGAGATTTTTTACTCACTGTCGGAGAGCGAACCGGCGTCGCCGTCGGTAACAAACTAAAGTGATCCCAGAGACGGCCTCTGTAGAAATATTTTATTAAAATATATACTCAAAGAATGGATATAACTGATTTGACTACTCCGTGAAAGTGAACAGTCGTGCCGGTTGGTACATTATTATTTATTCCGAATGACTTAATGACTATCTTTTGTCACGTTACTATTTTGATATATAAAACAGAAGTTTCATTTGCAATGGAAAATTAGCGACATATTTATAAATACATCTTATTAAATAGAAATAATGTTTCAGTTTTTTTATCGATATTATTGACAACACTATTCAAACCGGGCGTGGTGCGCCTGCGCTATTCGGCAAACAACGAATCAAGCTTCACGATTGTTTCCGAATGAAGTGAGTTGTAGTAAATTGTTAACTTTTTTATTTCGATTGTTTTTATCAAAATTAATTCAAATAAAATGAAAAACTATCAGTAGAGGTATTTTTATAATTTCTAGTTTCATTACATAAAGTTATAGTTCTAATATCAGTGTATTTTGCTGTTTAATCCGAAGCTAAACGTTTCCATGGGCGTCAACTTCAGGTTAAGTTGTTAAGTTTATTTAATTAATAATTAGGGCTAAGTATAATTATAATTTATGTTTTATATGGTCTATTTTGTCAATAATTTATGACTGCAACTGAAATCAGTGTAATTACAGTTTTAAATACATAGTTTATATTACATTTGTCATTGTTTACGATGTAACGAATATATATTGGTTTGAATCTTATTGGATCGGAAATTAAAATTAAGTTATAATTACTATAATTTAATTGTTTTTAAAAGTTATAGTTGTTGAAGAAGTAGAATTATAATGTTCATATTGAAATCTGATAATAAATATATAGGCTAGGTTATAAATATAGAACGGTCCAGCCTAGCTCTAGTGCTAGGCGTCTAGATTGTAGCTAATAGTTAATTCTGATCTAGTTCATTAGCCGCATTGCAATGCTGTGGCCTGTTTATCGATTTAAATGTAAGTAATATATATAAAATAAGTGTTTGTTCAATATTTATAGAAAGAGGCAACCTGTAATGTAACAGACAGTAATTAATAATTTTAATTGTTTACTAGTATTTTAACCCTATCTCGTCGAGACCATATATGATCAGAAAAAATAGCACCCTTATTCTGGCATCTCAAATATGTCTAAGTCAAATTTCATCATGATTGTTTGAGGTGTGAACACATAACAAACAATCATATTATTTTTTTCATTTATAATATTAATTAATAAAGGATATCAAATTCTAATTCAATAGTCATTTATTAGTATAGTATATTTTAATGACTTCTGTAAGACAAGTTTTTCAATGATAATTTTTTCTTACCTGAATTTTTGCCACTATATCTAAATTCTCTCTCTATTCCTAGTTATATATTTCACATGGTGGTGGCATCAGCTTTCCTTATTTTCTTCTACTACTTTATCTTGTCCCTTCTGTCCTATCTCTTATCATCCTCAGAGACCTCATACTCTATCACTCTATGAGATATAGCAACTATTATGGATTAAAACACATATTGTTATACAGCAGCAACTACATCCTCCCACCCTTTGGCAGATCAAATGTCTGCCTCTGCACTGTATATAAATTATCATAAAAACAATTAATTCTAAACAGGTAGCTAATGAAGACTGAATAATGAAGCTCTCACTTACCTATATAAGCATAGCAATATTACAATTGTGTATAGCACAGGACTATGTGCCACCCACATACAATACCGGGCAAGCAACAATTGATGTGAACCAAAACGATCCAAATCGGAGGTACCAAAACAGAAATCAGTATGACAATCGCAATCCATACGACCCGAGTAGAAGATTCAATGGGAATGACCCGTACCAGAATGTATACAACCCAAGTGAATCTAAACCATCATGGGATGCAAGTCCAAGTTATAATACTGCAGTGAAAACTGCACCTCTGGAACATGACAGTGTTATTATCAATGAAGCGTAAGTAGAATATTAATTGTTGTTAGATTGATAGTGCATTATACAGAAAAGAGAAAAATTATAGGTACTAAAAATGTTGTTATTGAATGAAATATGTTAGTGAATTGATTGAATTGAATTGAGGTACAGAGATGTCATATGTATGTAGATGTTGGTACACACTTTAGGTGAATAAAATATTTATTTATTCATTTAGACTTTAATGCATGAATACAAGATATAAATATATAATAATACTCCTGGACAAATCACACAATGCCATCTAGATCCAAGCTAAGCAGAGCTTATGTTATGGATACTAGACAACTGATATTAATATTGACATGTTTTTTTATGCCAATACATATATATTTTTCTATCTGCCATCAGACATATTTAATTTAGGACTCTGTATATAATATAAATATAGATAATGAAATTAATAATTAAACATAGAAAATTAAACTACTTAACAAATGTGCAAATAATAATAGTAAAAAAAATATATAATAATAATAAATTTATAGTATAATATAATAACATGAATGAACATGAATGTAATAATAAAACAATGTATAATAGTACAGAAATAAAGGATTCTTTATTATATAATATAAATATATATTATTAACTTTTATTTCCTCTTTTTAAAGGTTTGGCATGTTGTTTGACATTGTTGAGTTTATTTTTCACATATTATCTTAAAAACTAGTTTCAACTATTTCTTTCAGTACATATTTCATAGTGGCATCCAGAATAGTCCGCCCAGGTCAGATATACAAGATATCGGCGAATATTCTTCAAGCTAGAATGCAGATGACCGTTAAAGCATCAATTGCGAGGGATGGAGTGGAGTTAGCTAATGTTGCACAAAGGGTTAATGAGGGTGTGCCCGAGATACTCAACATTAGAGTAAGTGGTTTAAATTTATTTCACAATTAGAATAATAAGTTAGTATTAGTTTCATTACATTACTAGAGAACAAAGTGCCAAAGGCCCTTAAATTATTTTAAAGGTCAATCAGTCTCTTGAAAATTTCAAAGCTTTTCACTAATTGCATAGAGAGATATGTAGGATAATTACATTATTTCTTTTTTATTTGCTAATCTTTGAAACGGCTGACCCGATTTTGAGGGGGCCTTACAATCACAGATAGCTATTGTTATAAGGAGTAACTTTGACTACTGCTATTTTAAGAAAATTTATTTAAATTTATTCCACACAGACAATGTCTCGTAAGTAATCATTACATAGTATAAAACAAAGTCGTGGTTGCTGTCTGTCCGTCCCTCTGTACCCTTAAATCTTTAAAACTACGCAACGGATTTTTAAGCGGTTTTTTTAATAGATGGAGTGATTCTATAGCAAGGTTAATATATATAATACTAGTAGCTAGTTAAATACAATGAATTATCAACAAGTTTCGATATGGTCAACTTAGTCATTTGTGTTGATTATGAAATTGGTGCATGTTGGCAGCAATGAATGATTCTTATACTTAAAGAATAGAATAGAATAGAAAATCATTTATTCAAATAAACTTAATTTAAGCACTTTTGAATAGTCATAACAATTTGTTTTTTATCTACCACTCGTTCGGAAAGCTGTCTCATCACAAGAAGAACGAGCAAGAAACTTGTGTGTTGCTCTTTTAAATAATCCTTGTAAGTTTACATTTACAAGTCGAAACGTGTGAATACAAACTACCAACAAGCACTAATTTTTGGGTCAAATATAAATATGCAATAAGATTAAATCAGTCGTAGTGATAAGAGCAGACCAGTCCCTACAAGCAGCACTCGTTCACGAGTATGACGGATGAGCCAGCCATCACTGCGCTCGACCATATTTTAGGGAGCCCATTGACCCGGCCCACCACGCCGCCACATGTCTGGACATTTTAGTGAGCATGACTACTCATTCCACACGACCACGTCACAGCTATAAAAATTACTATATGGTAGTTACAGTATTCGCACTTTACATAAGGATGCATGCGGCAATCAATACAAAAGCCGCTACGCTATCATATATCAAGAAAGCAGTATGAAAATTAAAATTATAACGTTGTCCGCAAATAAACTTATTCTTGCTATATATTGCTATCATCTATAAATTCATCTATCTTATAATAGGCTTTTTTACATAACATTTGTTTAATATAAGATTTGAATTGCCTCTCTGTAAGATTTAGCGTAGACTCTGGCAGTTTATTATAGAATCTTACGCAATTACCATAAAATGAATTACTAACTTTGTGTAGACGGCATTTAGGTAAAATTAGCTTATTTTTATTGCGTAAGTTTCTACTTGTACAGTCTTTAAGTTTCTTGAAACTATCTAAGTTTTTCCTTGTATACATAATATTTTCATAAATGTACTGTGAGGCAACGGTGAGGATATTTGATTGTTTAAAGCATTGACGTAATGACTCTCTAGAACCCATACCATAAATAGAACGTATGGCTCTCTTTTGTAAAATAAATATAGTATTTATATCGGCAGCTTTACCCCATAGCAGTATGCCATATGACATAATGCTATGGAAATAACTAAAATATACAAGTTTTGCCGTCGCCACGTCTGTTAGTTGCCTTATCCTTCTAATTGCATAAGCAGCAGAACTAAGTCTACTGGCTAATTTTGAAATATGGGGCCCCCATTGTAACTTCGAGTCCACTGTTATTCCTAAAAAAACTGTATCATTAACAAAATTTACTATTTCATCATTAAGCAATAGCTGCGTATTTACTTGTTTTACATTAGGCAGCGTGAATTTAATGCACTTAGTTTTGTTGGAGTTCAATAATAGATTATTACATGTGAACCAATTTAGTATAGCAGAGATAGCATAATTTACATCGTCTAATTGATTACATTGGCGACCAATTTTAAACACTAAGAAGTATCATCCGCAAATAACACTATATCTGCAACTTTCTCTACCATGTAGGGAAGGTCATTTATATAAATTAAAAAGAGAAACGGGCCTAATATTGAACCTTGAGGAACGCCCATTTTTATATTAGTTCCCTTAGACTTTACACCATCAATATCTACAGTTTGCACCCTATCCTCTAGATAAGTTTTCTTAGACTTAGGTCATTATCTCTAATACCATAATGTTTGAGCTTGTACAAAAGTGTTTCATGATCTACGCAATCAAACGCCTTCGACAAGTCACAAAAAACGCCGAGAGCATCCTGTGAGTTTTCCCATGATTCGAATATATGTGTAATAAGCGCTACGCCTATCATAGTAGACTTGCCGGCAGTGACCATATTGCTGACTGTGAAGCAGTCCGTTATCCCTGAAGTATTTTAACATTTGGTTAAACATAATCTTTTCAAATACTTTACTTAGAACTGGCAAAATAGAAATTGGTCTATAGTTGCCTAGCTCAAATCTATCTCCAGATTTAAAGAGTGGAATTAATTTGCTAAATTTCATTAATTGAGGAAACACGCCATTATCAACACATTTATTGAAAATAGTAGCTAGATAAGGAGCAACAATATCTATGAATGTACTAACTACTTTAACTGACATGTCCCAGAGATCTTCCGTATTTTTTAAATTTAACTGTTTGAATATTTTTATGACATGAAAAGGGCTGACATGTGAAAATTTAAATGTTAAAGAGCAAGGGCTGACATTAGCCTCCAGTAATGTTTTTGCTCGAATTGGAGATGAGTCTAGAGAAGATGTAATATCAATCGGAATATTAGCAAAAAAACTTAACTCTTTCCACTCCAAGCCTTTTTTTTTCTTTCTATTTCACCAGCTCCACGCTAAAAAAGAAGTATTACACTATGTCGAGTGACACTCGACATTGGGCTGGAAATGGTTAATAAGATCTAAATCTGTGAGGTTAATATTAATATGAATATCAGTAACATTTGTGGTTTTACATACGGAGAACATTTAGTCTGAGTATTCCCAGTTAATTATTCAACAAATTCCATCGTAGGTACCTCCTAATTCGGTACCCGGTGAATATAAGCTGCACATTGAAGGGCTGTACCTGGATAATCCATTCGGAGGGCGCGCGTTCTTCAATGAAACAAAGCTGGTGTTTTCTAAGAGGTTCATGACGATATTCATACAAATGGACAAGCCTGTTTATATGCAAGGACAGATAGGTAAGTTATTAATATATATTATATAATATTTCAAAACTTATAGCTACCTTAACACGACATACTGTTCCCCTCCGATCGATCCCCCGTCCAATTCAAACGGGGATCGAAATTACGACGACCTGATTCGAGGTTCGAACCCCTAGCAATGTCCTCAGACTGAAGTCGTATCCGTCAGGCGGGAGTTGGCCTTCAGCCGCTCCATAAGTCCTTCCTTTGGTTTCGAGCGCCATCTGTACTCGCCCTCTATCGTCCGGTGAAGTTCTAAAGACCAGCTGCGCCAACAGCATCAGAGTAGTCCGAAAAAAATCAAAAAGACAGACACCCGTAGACTTCGGCGAACAAACTGTCGCAGTTTAATGGCCGACATCCAAACTCTATTCAATGCCTGATGACGCCACGTTCAGAGGCGAAACACGTTTCGCGATATGGGTATAGACTCAATAACGGTCGTAATTTGATCACCAATGGAGAAGGTGGAAACGCTTTTAGTGGCGGTGGTCCGATTTTTATGGATGATAATGGAATGGTGCAACCGCCTGCGCTAACGGTTTACGCTGGCGGAGCACCAGTGAAGGGTGATAAGATGAACATGAGGTCAAGTCAGTTTGTCCATCGCGGTAAATTCACCAGACATTTATCACGATGGTTTTCATGGGAAACCACGTGAGATAGTATATTGCTAGCAGTGTAGCCACTGTAATATTTGTTGTCTCACACATGCTAATGGTAGCAGAATTAAACAAAATAATATGGATCCATTAAATATTTAAGAATAACTAGAAATCATGTTTACATAATCTATTTACATTGTAAGATTCCTTGTGAGCAGTTATATAAAGATTATTATTAAGTAATTATATAATATTGTGTCCAGTTCGTTTCCGCGCCATACCAATCAACACTGAACTGAAGGCATTCGGACGCGCCATCGACGTCTACATTCTGGATCCCAACAGGCGCATCATGAAGAGGTGGCTCTCTAGACAGGTAACATATATGGAATTACTGTATGAATCTATGTACTGTGTACAGGAAACCCCCCTGTAACACGGTAGATTGGTTACGCGTTGTAGGAGTATTCCCGTATTACTTATTAATTATCCATGTTTATTTTTTCTGGTTAAAGGGTGTTTAAATCGGATATTTAGAATAAACTATATTAAGAATGAAATAAATACGTTTTATCTAAATTACGTTAAATTATAATATCCTATGCATATGAACTAAAAAACCAAATTATGAACTGTACAAAACAAATCAACATGAACAAATCATTTTAAATTTCACTGTACAGAAATATAATGTGCGAAATCTCCGCGTTACATAGAGGAATGTCCGTGTTATATGGAGGAATAAAATCCGTGTAATATGAAAACGCGATATAAGAGTACCGTGTTTTATGGGGGATTACTGTAATATGTGCTAATTTAGCATAACATGTATGTAATTACTTAATTACTGTGTGAATTTGTACTCTATGTACTGAATTAGCATGACAGGTTCAAAGTGTAGGAGTCGAATGTTTATAGTTGTTACAAATGCTATCAATACACAAGTGATCTGATGACACAATAGGTAATACTGACTCAAGTATACTAGTTAACATTAAACACTTATTAGTGTTTATACATTGTTTGTATAATCTATTAAACTGCTTCCTGCAAACTGATCGGTCTTATTTCATGTTATTTAATATCTATCTAGATAAAATGTATGTTTGTACAAATTATCTTTACGCCAAATCTCATCCGATTGATCCCTCGTCCAATTCAAACGGGGATCGAAATTACGACGGCCTGAGCCGAGGTGCTCTCAGACTAAAATCGTATCCGTCTGGAGGCGACCCGAAGTCATAAAGTCCTGCTTCTTTATATGCCGTCTCCTACTGGAGGTTGACGATAAGCATGGCGATCAGAATATTATCCACTACTGTTCTGAACAGGGATCTGGAATATCGAACCACTGTCTTAAGTTCTTTAGCCATGACGTGCGGCGCCTACCGGTCTTCATAGACCCTGAATTTCACCTTGAGTTAAATTGTAAAAACCATATGTTTTAATTAGCATTATATGTCCAAGGTACTGCAACTTCCAACGGTTTATTGTATTCAACATAAACCTTGTGTTTATATATCTACTAGAGTACTTAACAAGGTATAAATCATATAGTATTTACCCACAGAGCAACTTTGGAACGGTCAGTCTGCACTACCAGTTATCAGATCAGCCGCTGTTCGGTGAGTGGACCATTCGCGTGGAGGCGCTCGGACAGATTGAGGAGTCACATTTCCTTGTTGAAGAATACTACCAGACGAGGTTTGAAGTGAGTATAATTAAAAAATACATATTAAACAGTAATCTCTATAGCTAACCCGTGCTTCTTTGCCCTTTTTTCCCTTTATTGGAATTCCCGTTTTTATGTCATTTTTCGTTCCAGCTCTACTCCTATAAGTCGTACCATAATTTTATAAGTACTCTACAAGAATTTTCATAATCGGATCAGTATCGGAAATTAGCCAAAGGAACGAAGCTCGCAAACTTTGTCTTTTTATTCTATTCCTATAGATTACCCCTAAACATTTTAACAGACACGTTCAGTATACTGATTCGTTTGTGTAGCACTGGCAAAAACTCAACTGAATTTATATATTTTTTTACAGTGAGTTTGTTTATATCGTGTATTTATATAGGTGTCTATGTCTGACATTAATTGAAAATCCTGTGCATGAACAACTATTGTTATGCATGTTTGTTATAATATTAGATGTATTAATACTCAAATGCTGTATGTATTTTAAAAACAAATGGAGGCAATTAATGTTGTCTTGGCTTTGTTCAGGTAAATGTAACTATGCCAGCGTTCTTCTTCAACACTGACCCGTACATACACGGTCGCATCATGGCCAACTACACGTCGGGTGCTCCAGTCCGAGGCAACATGACTCTGAAGGCGACTATACGACCAATACCGCAGTACCGGCCCAATTACTACCAACAGGGACAATTCAATAACCGAGGACAATATGGTCTACCGCAAGGATACGGCTCCCAATATACTAGGCGTGAGTATAGTTCTTAATATATTTTTCTAGCACACGATTTTGCGGCTCACCTGATGGTAAGTGATTATCGCCGCCCATGAACACCGGTAACACCATGGAATTGTAGTGCGTAGCAAAATTTGATTTCCACTATTTCTCGTTATTATATTCTCATTAAGATTTTACATCTGTAATTTATTATATTAGTGGTTGAAAGTCGTTATTATATTTTATTGTCTCATTAAGATTTTACATCTGTAATTTATTAATTGTGTCAAGTACATGGTAGTGTGTGTATTTTTTTTATATTATGCATTATTAAAAAAAAAATAGCATAATTCATATAAAATTTAAAAAAGTATAAAATTATAATTATCTATAAAATTCTCGTGTCACTTCTCATATTAGTTACCATTCATTCCGAAACAGCATGACCGATTTTTATGAAATCGACTACTATCTATTTTTCATACCCCTGCGTGATAAGCGTTGTCCACCCCCAACTTATATTTTTTATTTTATGGTAATTTTTTTTTAATTCTTTATAATGTGGCATTAAGAAATACATACCCTAAATTTTCACCCTTCTATCGTCAACCCCTATTTTGTAATAGCGATTTTAATTTGTATGGCAAAACGACGTTTCCGGGGTCAGCTAGTTAACTATAAGTGCGCGATATCATACTTCACTTATTAATGTATGGATTATCTATTTGTTCTGTACAGTATATATATAAATAAAGTGTATTTATTCTTTCTATCAAAATGTTAACAATGTGGTAAGTTATGTTAGTGTTGACAGCTTTAATATGAAATTTTTATCTTTTTTGTTTCCCAGATCGTCCCAACCCATATTTGTACAATGAGACGGGCAATTACGAGCCAAATGGAGAATTAGACGAGTTCGGCCGTCCACGCCACCGTCCCGGTCAACCCAATCAGCTGGACCAGCCCGATTGGTGGTATGACCAATCTGCCGTCCGAACCAGGGTGTTTAACTTTGTAAGTACAATTATATTATTAGTACTTATTGTAGACTAGAAGTAGTATGAACTCAGAGCCGGACTAGCCCGACATATACAAATATTTAATAATAGTATTCTCTGTGAAATGAAATGTATTTATTTCCATGAAATCGCGAAAGTTTGTGAGTATGGATGGATGTTTGTTTCACGCAAAAACTACTGAACGGATTTTGATGAAACTTTACAGGATATAGCATATACATCAGAATAACATATAGGCTATAAATTTCATGCGGTTGAAACCGCGGGCAGCTAGTATGGTATAAATATTAAAAGAACGTCAGTGTTAATAAAAGACTCCACATATGTCGTCACTATTTTGGCATGCAAAATTTTAGTAATAATAGAATTCGTAAAAATAACATTATAATCTAATCTAATGTAATTATGTACAACTTCATTTGAAAAGAATAAGAGGTAAGTTTTTTATCAGTTCTTCTTAGCTCCAAAGCACTCCAAAATGACGGAATGAAGATAGAATGATGAAATAATTTGATTTGATTTGATAGGGCCCGTAAAGTGTGCCACCGCCTTCGGAGCCACGGTGGATTGTTACAGCGTTTTTCCAAAGGAAAAAAAGTACAACAGTAGAATAATGCTAAAATAAATAATCTAGCCATCATAATCCACTGCCAGCACAGCTCTTGGAGCCTTTTCATACAGTCAAGAGACTGAAGAGGAGAAATATACTGTAGTAAGGTAGATGTAGTGCTGACCTCTTGACCTACAACTCAAGCAGCACACAACAAATCTACTTATAGTCTTTCTACTATTCGCCGATTAAAATAGAAATAAAAAAAAATATCATGAAAGCAGTAACGAACGTGATATACATGCATTTTTATATTTTCTATTATTATTTATCTAATTTTGTAATAAATTATCAGGATGAGAAGTACCCTTTCTGGATGGCGAAGCCGGACCCGCTGCAGTTCACGTCGCAGTCCGACCACAATCCCAACGACCCCAACTATAACACTTACACGACATCCTCGTACAACAATTATTACAACAACCCGTATTACAACCAGCTGCCGTATTTGAGATTTGTAAGTATATCTATAACATACCTTTCAATTGACAATTGTAATTGAAAAAAAATAGCTGGTGATGATGATCTTTAACCATCTTAAGAGAAGGTTTCTTCCAATTATGAAAATAGATATTTTAGCAGATAGCTTTGGAATTTATTCCGATTGGTTTTGATCTTTCAGATTTGTCTCAAAAATGTCAATAAAATCGGTTCAGTAGCTTAATTTTTGAATGTAAATATCTGAAAGAAATTAAATGCCGATTATCCGACAATGTTTATATATGTATAATTGGTTTTAAAAATACGTTGTACGTATTTTAAAACGTTAAATGTTCACCCTTCTACTATCAACCCCTACTTTTTAATAGCGATGTTAGTGCTTTAATTTATATGGTAAAACAATGGTTGCCGGGTCAGCTAGTCATTATTAATTATTTTCATAAATGGACAGTGTTTATTCTTATTTGAACATGTTTATAATAGAAACACGCGAACCTGACGAAGCAATTTAGTAATTTGTAAATCAAGTACATATTAGACAGGCCTGTCTTTATCTCTATATATAATATTAATTGTTTTAGTTCAATGGTACATATGACTTCAAATATCCCATGGCGGAACTGGCTCAGTTGGTACCAGAATTAGATGGAGTGGAGGTGATCATCACAGCGTCCGTAGGAGATCCATTTCTCGATGAGATTATTGAGGGTTACAGCATCGCCAGGATCTACAATTCTTCATTGGCTGTCACATTTCTAGGTGGTACCCCACAGGTCTTCAAACCGTCTATGCCATTTGATGTTTATGTAAGTTGATTTATTATTTTGGTCTTATTCTAGTCGGAGTACCTATATAGTTTCTATATAGAAATAATTTGAAGAATCATGCCAATGAAAGTTGTAAAACTTTGTAATTGCTATGTTAGTTATTATAAAAGCCTGTGTTCTGTATACAGCCATTAGTATAGTCAGCTGTATAAAAATATGCCTATTCAAAAGTGCTTAATTTTAAGTTCATTTGAATATTTTTCTGTACTTTCTATAAATACATATCTCACGCCAATCGGGTTTTCATACTACCGGATTGCATAGTGACGTTCAGTAACCTAACATTAAATAAAATAAAATAATTAATATTATAAACATGAAAGCTTGTGACATGGATCGATGTTTGTTACTCTTTCGCGCAAAAAAGTACCGAACGAATTTTGATGAAATTTTACAGTAATATAGGTACATCAGAATAACATGTAGGCTACAAATTTGACGCGGCTGAAACCGCGAGCAGTATCTAGCGAGGCAGTGTGCGTATGTATGTAATAGTAGCGTGTATGTGAGGATGCGTTTGCGTTCTGTAGATGGTGGTGTCGTACCACGACGGGTCGCGGCTGGCGGCGTGGCGCGCGGCGGGCGTGTCGCTGTCGGTGTCGGTGGCGGTGGAGGGCCGCGGCGGCGCCGTGGAGCCCCACCAGCCCACGCTGGTGCCCGGACACGACGCAGTGTGGCACACCAAGCTGGACCTCTACAAGCTGCTCAGTCAGTACCCACACTACTGCTACCAACTTTTCCGATTCTTAGTTAATTAAAGTTATTATTAACGCCCTGGTGGTCTAGCGGTTTAGCATACCGCTTTACGTCCGATGGTTCTGATTTCAAATCAAATCATGCGTGGTAGTAATTTTTTCACGAAATGCAGAGTTCTGTGTGGGAATATTTAGAGAGTTTAAAAGCGATTGAAACTGTAGATATGCTATTTAACCAAAGATTCTTAGGAAGACCACATATTTACCGTGATTGACAAAATAATAACAATAATAATCTCAGAACAATTCACACAGCGCCATCTAGTCCCAAGTTAAGCTAGCTAAAGCTCGTGTCATGGGTACTAGGTAACTGATACAAATCATCATTGCCTTGCCTTTATCCCATTACTTGGGGTCGGCGCAGTATGTCACTCTCCTCCACTGCTCTCTATCGGTCGTCATATCTAAACATACTCTTCTTTTATTCATATCATCTTTCACACAATCCATCCATCTTTTCTTAGGGCGTCCTCTCCCTTTACATCCATCCACATTCATATTATACACTTTCCATAAGACATGGTCCTCATTCCTCCGCATAACATGCCCATACCAGCTCAATCTGTTACCTCGCAACTTTTCTATAACCGGCACAACTTTCAAAATTCCTCGTATATACACATTCTTTATTTTGTCATTCCTGGTAACCCCACACATCCATCTTAACATTCGCATTTCTGCCATATGGCGTGTGCCTTTCGTCCATCCCTTTTACAGCCCAACATTCAGATCCATACAAAATGACATGTCTTATGATAGATTTATAAATTTTACCCTTTAGTTTCAAGGGCATTCGGGGGTCGCATATCGTTCCCGAGACCTGTCGCCATTTCATCCATCCCGCACTAATTCTGTGCCTTACATCGCGGTCTATGTCGGCATTGTTCTGAATAACTGAACCGAGGTACCGAAAATCGGAGATACAAATACATATATATTTTTTGGTAAATACATAATATACATAGAAAACACCCACATGCCGTGCGAGGCCACACGCCACCGAGGCCGTCAACAGTTAAGTATTTTAATGTGTGTATATTTCTTTTTCATTTGTTGAAAACGTTATTTTAAGTATTCTTATATATTTGTATAATATTGATTGAACGCGAACTAAAATAAATGTGACACCCTAACGGCATCACATTTGACATATAATACAATTTCTAACGCGATTCATTAATTCTATTGTATAATTTGTATATTGGCGCACCAAAATTTTGCGGATCTCCAAAACAATAGCGAAATATGTGGACACATTTTATTAATCACCACACACACACTTTAATATTTATAACAATATTGTCATGCAAATAAATACATATTCTATGTATCTAGTACATCGTTGAACTGAAGTTTATTATGTTGAGATCACATGGTCTAAAATTGGTTATAGAGGTGAAAAAGTTGTTTTATTCACCTCAACATTACATACTCGTCTTGTTATAGCGAACGAATTTACTAATTTGTTATAACAGATTTTTATCAAATTAATGTATGTATATTTAATAATAATAACAATAAGGAGGCCAAAAAATGTTTTTTCCTACATTAATAAATAATCAAAATGAAATGCAGTATAATCCGTAAAAATAGGTGCATGAATCACATACTATGATATTAAGAGTCATACATTGGTGGGAACTTTATACGAATTTATATATTTCGTTATTATATGTATTTTTTGTTTTCTCACCACAGGTCGGGGAGTACGTTATATTCCACGTGCAGAGCAATGTCTACATGGAAACATTCAATTACGTCGTCATGTCCAAGGGCATTATACTGACGAGTGCGCAGGAAAATATGCAGGTAAATTATGACGGCGTAGTCTTTATACATTTTTTCTTTTCGACTTTCGAGCACACTGCGGGCCGCGTGTTGCTCACCCCTGTTATAGATTAACAGGAGTGAGCAAGCAACACGCGGCCCGCTAGCCGTATGTGGCACGTGAATATTTAAATTTGTAAAGGAAGAGAAATAAAGAGAAAAGATAATAATAATAAATCCATTTATTGCTACTATTAGTATGTATTTACTATGTGTATTGATCTCGATTCGTGTGAATTGTCCAGGGATTTAGATTCTCTTTTTGTTATGTTTTTTGTCAATTGTAATTCCAATAATTGTAAACTGTAAGAGGAGGGAACTGGTACCTAAAATATAGGTTTCTGCTTAGTTTTAAATAGCAGGGAACGATGTAAAATGTAAATATGGATGAAATATAAAATAAAATACTATTAAGCGGAGCTCGAAGTGCGGAATGATCTTAGAGATCAGATTTGCACTCTTTGTAACGATACTGCTCCAAAACAGCTTCATGGATAGAGACCAAAATTTCATCGAATGTCGACTTTCGGGCCTCCATGGTTTACTCGAAAAATTCCGATCGGTTGAGGTCGAGTTTTTAAAAACAAACACGCTTCGCTCAACTTTTGACCTGTAGAGTTGTTCTGTAAGCATCGCTTACAAATTCGAAAGCGGAATCGTAAGTGATCCGCGGTGAGATTGTAGATTGGTATTCATATTGCATATTTTGGATAATGCATGGGCGGTGGGCGAATCTAGATGATGATTACGTCATCGGCTGTTATTTACTTTTTTACTCGAATGGAAACTCTTACATTGTCTTTGCTATAAAAACGATACATTAATTGAAAAATGTTTACCTATGCATGGGGGAGGGGGCAAGAGCTTTCCTTACTTTTGTTGACAAGGAGGATGGGGGGGGGGGGGAATAATTGTAATAAATCTGTTTATGTAATACTTGAACGGCCTCATACTGTCATTGGTGTATAGTTTACACTCCAGTAACAGCATTGGTATTTACTATAATTGTGCGCGGTAGGAGGGCGTGCGCACGTTCGCCGTGAGCGTGTCGGCGGAGATGTCTCCGGTGGCCACCGTGCTGGTGTGGAGCGCCGAGCGCCGCGCCGCCGTGCTCGCAGACTCACTCACCTTCCCCGTCAACGGCATCTCCAGGAACAACGTGAGGCACCACACACACCACACGTGTACACCACCTATTCATACGCTCCCACGCGTGTCCACGTCACACCTACCTACTCACTCATGACAACGATTCAGATACCCCAATACGCCACCCACCCGCGATTTTCCTCGTCTACCCACAGATAATTGTATAAAGTGCTCTGATATAAGTTACTAGTAACTACAATCAGTTTTTTGACGGCTTATTACAAAGCGCGCGGCTACTAGTGCCAAAACAAATCAACGTCGCGAGCGTCTGTCGCCATTTTGTTCGTAATTCGGCTTCTATACGCTGTTTTGTTAAGTTTTTCCTCATGTTGTGTTTGTGGTAATTGTTGGGTATATTGACACATTATCAATTCGTACACTCCCACACGTGTCACTTGTCACCCACGTGTTACGCACTCATGCTTGTATATGCCACTGATTCAGATGTAATCTTTTTTATTTTTAAACTATTATATATTGTTATATTTTGTACATAATTACATTATGAATTGTAATTAGGACAGTCTTAAAAGTTTCCCCTTTACGTTTAAAATATCTCACCAATTCAGATGCCCCTACACGCTACCTATCTGCGCCACATCATCTACCTACAAATAAAGCCTACACATTATCAATTCGCACACTCCCACACGTGTCACTTGTCACCCACGTGTTACACACTCATGCTCATACATCTCACCGATTCAGATGCCCTAACACGCTATCCATCCATGTGTCCACGTAATCCAATACTGTCACTCAAGTCATTCAATCACAAACCATAGCAGACCCACTTACACACCCACTATATCATAATTGTCAACCTGTCTATCTATAATAACCTTTCTGTATTCAATTAGTTGCTTTGATGTTACAAAAGTTATTTAATGATATTCCTTTGATTGATGATGAAAACAATTATTATAAACTTTATTATTTGTACATTTTAAATAATTAAAATACATTATAGAAATTTTAACTCAATTAGATTCTGCATGCCTAATGAATTTATCAGATGTAGATTTTCTGAATATATATAATTTCCGGCATTTCAATCAATCTATTATAACTATGTTTATTTTATCCAGTTCACGGTTTATATAAACAACCGCAAGCATCGTACTGGCGAGCGGGTCGAGATAGCTGTATACGGCGAGCCCGGTGCCTACGTAGGATTATCTGCGGTTGACAACGCTTTCTACACAATGCAAGCCGGGAACGAACTCACATATGCCAAGGTACAATATACCATCGATAAGCTCGTATGGTGTGTTTACAATTGTAATTATTAGGTCGTAGTAATATGATACAAAAGTTGTTGAGAGATGTTTTACTATTATTTTTCATGTTTGTATATATTTAGAATATCAGAATTACATGAGAGGGTTACCTTGCCTTTTTCCGGAAGCTAGTCCGCTAAGCTGGTTTAAATTGACTTTGGGTCTGACCCAGGCCAATACATCGAGAATGGACTGATCTCATTGAGCTCGTTTGAGTTAGTCACATATTTGTTAATAGCAATTATTATTTTAATTGTATTTGTTATGTAGTGACAATGTCGTTATGGTAATTGATTAATTCCAGATAACATGCACATTCTTGTGAGAATATCTAGCCAATACATACTAGACGAGCCTTCTTAAGTATTTTTTTTTGTCTTAGAAGAATAGAGGGGGTGGAGGGGATAGTGGCCCCATTTCTAGCAATATCAAATAACTGAGTGGGAGACCACTCAGTTGGAAAATATCGTGTAAATATCTGCTCGTGTAGAATGTGCTATGACGGGTTAATTGAGTTAATCGGGAGGTAGAGAGGTTAATTGAGATGACTGGGAGAGAGGGGAGTTGATAGTGGTTCCAACCTGTGTCCATAATCACAATGATTATGGTTGGACCAACATTCTTGCTTCTGGAAATCAACAATGGGCTAACAGACCTAACTTTAGCCCTTCTTTAGCTTACATTATGTTCCCTAAAACAGCTAGTTGTTTGTGGTGTGGTCAGGTGATATCTAAGATGGCGTACTTCGACGAGGCTACAAATGGCACGTTCGCATACACGTGGCGCTCGCATCCTGGCGACGCGGACGAGCTCGTCTACTTCCCGTCCTCCACCTTCGGCATCGACGCCAACAGGACCTTCGAGTGAGTGCACCATATTATGTTTTATTCACAGAAATGAGGTGATTACGTAATTATTTGAAAACCTAAGGTCGTTTAATTTTTACTTTTCTCTCTTCCTATTCCCCGTTGACGTTTTGGATATAATCATATTTGTTATTATTTAATTCGATTATTTTGGGCTCTGTGATTTTAATATATATATTTATGTATAATAAAAGAGATTTTTAAATATGAAATGTCTTATTATACATATTTTCTTAGACATTTCATAGAAAGTTTTATTTTTACGGTTTTCTTTTACATAATTGGAATGGAAAACAACCTGACGACCTATCTGTTGATAACGAATGGTAATGTACTTTTAGGACTGTTATACCAGATATATACAATATATGAAATAATTGAAAGTATTGTTTATTATGGATGTCTTGGTGAACGCAATATTGCATATTTTTGTTGGTATATTTGAATCCAATGATTTCAACTCTCTACCTTGCGATTTATGTTGGGATTTATGAACGACTACTCTCAAGGACATTGCGTGGCAATATAAAACATTCTGTTTGAATGAGAGAGCGATTACTAGAATTAATTATCTAGGTCCATTCGTCGCGTTGAATATGATGTTAATGGTAGTGCGACTTCTTCACGTTCAGAGTGTGGCATGATCTTGCGGTGTGTTGGATTAGTAAACTGACGTATTGGTCACGACTCTCTTATGTTCAATGTGTGGCTCAATAATAGTAGATTCGATCTAAGTTGATCTAAACGACCACTAGAACTTTAATAGGTTCAGACTGTGGTATAACAGATTCGATTTGAGTGAGAGTAGTTACGTAGTTCTAGTGGTCACTTGAACTAGATAACGAGTCGCGACACGACGCAGTGCGTTCAGAGTATGACATGATATCCATGGTGGTGGTGTGTGCAGGTACGCGGGGCTGGTGGTGTTCAGCGACGTGGTGGTGGCGCGGAGGCCGAGCGCCTGCAACGCCAGCGCGGGACAGCTCGAGTGTCTCGAGGGCGGCTGCTACTCGCACCTGCAGCGCTGCGACGGCCAGGCCGACTGCCTCGACCGCACCGACGAGGCCGACTGTCAGTACACACTACACACTGTACACACTGTACACAACACATGTCACAGCTCGTTGTCTCGAGGGCGGCTGCTACTCGCACCTGCAGCGCTGCGACGGCCAGGCCGACTGCCTCGACCGCACCGACGAGGCCGACTGTCAGTACACACTACACACTGTACACACTGTACACAACACATGTCACAGCTCGTTGTCTCGAGGGCGGCTGCTACTCGCACCTGCAGCGCAGCGCTGCGACGGCCACACTACACACAGGCCGACTGCCTCGACCGCACCGACGAGGCCGACTGTCAGTACACACTACACACTGTACACACTGTACACAACACATGTCACAGCTCGTTGTCTCGAGGGCGGCTGCTACTCGCACCTGCAGAGCAGCATACCACACTCCACACGAACAAAACACATTTATTATTAAAAACAACAATGACTGACAATTCAAATTATGACTGTGTGCTAAAAGCAGTTTAACTTCATACACAGGACCGTATATGATACAGTTATAAAAGGTACACAAATATAAAATTTTACAAAATAAACATGTTGTAATCAAATACATGTTACAAAGAAAATAAATTATTATTGTTGCGGGATAATAATACGATGTTGTCGGTTGAGATGATGGATATTACAGATGATAATTGACTGACAAATATACATAAAAATATTGCTCTTATATACTAAATAACAATAGGAAAATGTAAGGTGGGATGACACAGTTTAGACACGGCAGTAAGCGTAGATAATATTAAATTTGTCTTACTAGCCATTATTAAATGCAATTATTATATTGATGTATCAAGGTATCCCTATAACTATGATTGTTGTGCAGGTGATCACGACACGAACATGGAGTTAGCTCACTTCCGTAAGTTCCGTTTCAACCGCGTGCAGCGGCAGTACGACAACGTGTGGGTGTGGCGAGACATCAACATCGGCCCGCACGGCCGGTACGTCTTCAACATAGACGTGCCGCAGGTAATTCACAATATTGTCATATTGCAGCTGCCACACTTTGTAGTTTTTAAACTTAAACTTCTAGGTATATGGGGTGTATTAGGATTTTTCGCTCACGAAATACCGTTGCAGTCGCGTCGAAGGAATATACCACATATCCCGTGGTGAGGAATCCGGGGATTGTCGACCACAAAGAAAGACAAAAGACATTGAGGCTCACCCTACTAACACCCTTTAATGACCCCGATAATGAATGATTATTGAAATTACGGCGGCCACAGTCGAGGTTCGAACCCCTAGCAGTGCCCTCAGGCTAAAGTTGTATCTGTCAAGCAGGAGTTGCCCTTCAATTATTAATCCGTAAGTTCTTCCACCGGTTTGGAGTGCCATCTGCACATCGTGAAGGTATAAAGGCCAGCTGCGGTTAATAGCATTGTAGTAAAAGAAACTAATACCCTTGGAGGGTGAATAAGTCTGTTCTCGTCGGGCCACTAGAACATATTTTATATTTATTTACTTCGCAGGTGCCAGCTCATTGGATGGTATCTGCATTCAGTATGTCACCGTCAAAAGGATTTGGAATGGTGAACAAACCTATACAGGTAATCATCATTAAATATAAGAATATACATTACATACATATGAATGACGTGATTACCCGGTGGAGAGATATCTGAGAACAATTCACGCAGCGCCATCTAGTCCCAAATTAAGCTAGCTAGAACTTGACAACGGATAAAATATACAAAGATATTATTTTTTTTTGTAAATACATACATATTATACATCGAAAATGCCCAGATCGATACAAACAATTTTACTCGTGAATGCAATATTTGTACCATGCGAGAAGTCGAACCCGCGACCATCGGAAGTAAACCGAAGTCGCGGAATCTATAAAATGGTTAGTACAATATGTACGTCGGCCGCAGTACGTGGGCGTGCTGCCGTTCTTCATAAAGGTGGAGGGCCCGGAGCGGTGCCGGCAGGGCGAGCAGGTGGGGCTGCGCGTGGTGGTGTTCAACTACCAGCCCCAGAACATCGAGGCCGTCGTCGTGCTCGAGGCCTCCGCCGACTACAAGTTCGTGCACGTCGAGGAGAACGGCATCGTCAGTTGTTTTATATTCATTCATAAATTTAACATATTTTTACATAACATAATATCATATCGTTAAACCCATCTGGCCGATCGTCAGTTATTTCATGTTCATTCATAAAATCATCGTATAAATTACGACTCTAAATGTTGTATAACAAAATTGTTAAACTCATTTTGTCGTCACCACATCGCCCTAGCCAACTGTGTCCACGCGAACACTTGATAAAAGTAAAGGGTTAATACAGCTATATTTTTTTCAACACACTCGCTCGTAAAGTCTAATCATGGAGCACGCGTGCGTTATAAAACCAAATAATGAAATTACATTCCACAACTACACTATTTGCTATTTTTCAAATACTGAAATTCCGTTTCGTGAATTATAACTATCTTAACGCACTTGATCGTTATATTGTATAGTATAACTTTAATGCTCACAATACATAGGTCATAGGCATTAATAATACACATGAGTGCCTTTATATGCGGAATTATATTATTAGAGGAAGTATGAAAGTGGCACCGGTGTTAGAGAGGTTGAAGAGTAATCGTCTATCATGGTATGGACATGTAATGCGTAGGAACGAGGATAATATTTTAAGAAAGATGTTACAAATGAATGTGGAGGGTTATAAGGGCAGAGGAAGGCCAAAAAAGAGATAGATGGACTGTGTGAAAGATGATATGGTAAGAAAGGAAGTAAATAACGCGATGACTGCGAACAGGGATGAATGGAAGCGAAAAACATATTACGCCGACCCCAAATAAATGGGATAAGGAAGAAGCAGATGATGATGAGTGCCTTTATATGCACATAATATTGCATTGTTAATAAGCTGATAAGCTAAATTAAGTCATATTTTCTACGACTTTAGGTCGTATCGTATAATCCCCGCACATCGTTCGGCGAGCACCAGTTCTTCGTGTATATAATATCGGGAGACGCGGCCGTGGTGCATGTACCTGTGGTCGCCACCCGACTTGGAGTAGTGCGAGTGAAGTTACATGCAGCCACGCTGCAGGGTCGCCATCACTTCACCAAGGAATTGTTAGTCGAGGTACGTGCATAGTGTTGCCATCTGTAATTATATCGATATACCTATTTATAAAATTAAGATAATGGATATATCTTTGTATATAAAAAATAAATACAGGACAATTCACATTGCTCCTACCTAGTCAGAACCCTCTTTTTATGGGTACTAGACAACTGATATAAATATTTTTATTTTTATTCATGAATACAAATTTTTGTGCCGTGCGAGAAATCAAACCCACAACCATAGGACGTAAGTACAAATATTTATACTTTTATTTACGCAGGCGGATGGTATACCACAATACCGGCATCAATCCGTACTACTGGACCTGTCTAACCGCGCGTACGTGTTCCAATACATGCACGTGAACGTAACAGAGACGCCCATCATACCGTACGAGGTGGACCGCTACTACGTGTTCGGATCAAATAAGGCGCGAGTTTCAATAGTTGGTGACGTAGTTGGACCACTATTTCCAACGATGCCAATCAACGCAACCAGTCTACTGGACCTGCCTATGGTAAGACTGTGATGTAATTTGAATTCTATTGCTAAAGGCGCGAAGGTAAATTTTAGAAGCGACAGTTTTTCTTACCAATTTTACTCAACTGGATGGTAGGGATAGAAAAATAATGAAATAGAACAGAATAGAAATAATCTTTATTCAAATAAACCTTATCCAAGCACTTTTGAATAGTCATATTTTTTATTCTACTACTCGTTCGGATCACAGAGTCATCACAAAAAGAACTAGCAAGAAACTTGTGTGTTGCTCTTTTGAATGAATGTTATGTTCAATAAATAATTACATAATAACAAGTACGAGGCATGCAATAATCAACATAGAAACCGCTGTGCACTCATTCTGAGTGCAATCAGATTATATTGTCAGCGCTATGAATTTTAAGTTTTTACTAACAAAATTTTAATTCTAATGCTAATCAAAATAATGTTTTAGAAGGTCCAGTTGATTTTTTGTTCCTGTTCGTTGGACACTAGAGATAAATTAAAACAAATCAAATCGAAAATAATTTAATCTTGACATTATGGATGCTTATGAACGTCAAATTGTTTGTATTAATATTTTTTCTCTTACCGAATAATCGATAAGAATAGTAAATACTAACAGCATCTTATGCTCTCTCTCTATTTAACACAGTTGAATAGTAAACTAGCATTAAATTCACTGTTTATGAAAAATTATAAATACATTTTCATAAGTGACTAGAAATTCTAATTAATAAGTGATTTTTACTTGGACTTTAATGAATTAGTGACATTGATACATGTAAAGTCGTTAAGTAAAATATTTATACCGTACAGGGAAACAAACCCTCGACCATCGGAAGCAGACTGCTTTACTTATTCCTGCAGACCACCAAGGCTGTCTAATAACGATTACGTGTTATTTTAGGACTCGGCAGAACAGAACATGTTCAGCTTCGCAGTGAACATGTACCAGACGCTGTACATGCGATTGATCAACCAGCGCAACCGGACGCTGGAACGAGACGCGTTCTACCACATGAACGTGCTCTACCAGCGGCAGCTGTCCTTCATGAAGCCGGACGGCTCCTTCAGCTTGTTCAGAAGTGACTGGTCAGTATCCTTTCAATTACCAAAAGCTACGGCTACAATGTTAGCTTTAACACGTACTAATATTATAAATGTAAAAGTAGGCATGTATGAGCGGAGTTTCTTGGGAAAATAGAGACATTTATATCCAACAGTTTAATTATATTCCTTACTAGCTGTACCCGCGACTTCGTCCGCGTGGAATTTAAGTTTATTTTTCTAAAATAAAATATTTTTTCTAAAATCTTTATTACATCAGCTACCTGCCAAAAAAAGTCCCGTCAAAATCGGTCCAACCATTTCAGAGATTAGCCGGAACTGTGTGTTGCCCTTTTGAATAAGTGTTTTTTATTTTAAATAAATAATTTCACAATAACAAGTAAGAGGCATGCGATAACCAACATAGAAACCGCTACGCACTCATTCTGAGTGCATTCAGATAATATTGTCAGCGAAATGAATTTTAAGGTTTTTCTATAAAAAAAATTATAATCATATACAAACTAGTCAATGTTATAATAAGCATTTTTACAGAGAAAATGTGTTATACGACATTGGATATTCTATGTACACAAGATTATGCTTTCGAAATGTTAGGAAACAGTCTTTTCTTCAGAGGATTATTTATATTATTATTAATATATATATATATATATATATATATAAATTTTAATGTTCAGGAACCAGTCGGCGTCTAGTGTGTGGATTACGTCATTCTGTGCAAAGATATTCCAAGACGCGTCCTTTAACGAGTGGGAGAACTTCATCTACATTGACCCGGATGTAAGTTGTGTTGATAAATTAATAAGCTTATTTATAGTGTTAAAATAGTGATTGATAAGAATCTTATACGAGGCTAGTCGAAATGTCACATTTTTAATCTATATATCTATACATCTATAGTAATATTAAATGATATAAAGAGAGTGTATATAAAAAATAGATATAAAGAACACTCCTATTCACTTTCTATATTGAATTACACACGGCGGCGCGGTGAATTAGAGGCAAGATTACATTAAAGGCAACAAATTTCCGTACATCATTTTAACATGTCATTATTGTATTTTTTTCGTAAATATAATGAGGTTGTGGTTTGCGGTAGGTGACGTCCCAGGCCGTGTCGTGGGTGCTGCAGCATCAGACGCCGGAGGGCGCGTTCTACGAGGTGACGTGGCTGCCCGACCGCAACCAGAACGACACCATCGCGCTGCCTCGCTCGCATCCTCAGTACGCCGGCGCGGTCAGCACCGGCGGCAGGGAGGTCAGTCACACCCATACACACACACACACACACACACACACATACACACACACACACACACACACACACACACACACACACACACATACATACCTACATCAGACGCGTTTTACGAGGTAACGTGACTGCCCGACCGCAACCACAATGTACACACAAGCAAATGTTGCTGTGCCATATTTATTAATTCTAACAAAACAAACTCTAACCATGGTAATCTAATAGGTTAAGCTAATCTAAGCGGTTTAGCACATCACTTTGCTCATGATGGTCGTAGTTTCGATTTCTCCCACAATGCTATTTATACATTTGTATGAGTGTGATTGTTTGCTCGCTCTGGGTGTTTTCTATGTATATTATTAACTGATACCACGCAAGCATTGGTAGGATTAAGATGTCATTCTTATCTTGTAATCTGCATGCTGGCTCCAACCGAAACAGCTTACAAAGCATGCTGCTCGACAGCTCATATAGGTGAGGTTGAGATGCCCACTCAGAGGACTTTTTAGTCTATCATCTCTAGTGAATACAATCATCATTAATGAAATCAGAGGCCTTTGGTTGTCTAACAATTTAACGTCCGATGGTCGCGAGTTCAATCCTCTCACAATATTGCATTTATGTGTATATCTGTTTGTTGTAGTCTAGATTTTTTATTTGTATATTACGCATGTATTTATAAAATAAAATGTTTTTTTAATATTTCTATCAATTGTCTAGTACTAGACTAGACTAGATGGTGTTCTGTAACTTGTTTTGAACATTTTTTTATAAAAGCTGTGTATTTTGTTACAGGTCAACGGTTCTGTACTTCTACAGCGTAACATTACACTTACCGCGCAAGTGGTTATTACTCTCGAAACAGTTAAAAATCTCAAAGATATAGGCCAGAGAGAGGTAAGGATCTTGTTTTTTATATTAACAATATCATTTTCTATTGTATGAACGAATAATCACGTTCAGAAATAATATCACAGGGTTTAATTAGTTATTAGTAATATGTCGTGCCTCTACACTTGTAATATTTCTGTCAACATTCGAGACTCTTCCATTAGTTTACCTCTCCAGATATCATAGATTTAAGTTAAGTGAGAAGTCAGTCTACGACCCGACTCCGCGACGAATGTACGCATTACTAATAAGCCATGTAGCACACTAACAAATAATGTAACTAATGTATAAGAAATTGTACAATTATTTCATCGGTAGAGTCACTACATAGATACTATAGTAAACATATATATTATGTAGGGACAACTTATAACGCTACAATAGTGAGGTGATAATCACCGCGCTATAATGTTACAGTGGCTTAACTTATACGCTAGTCGTCTAACCCTGTATAAATTTGTCAGGGTCTAAGCGCCCAGGTGTCTCAAGCACAGCAGCGAGCTATCACTTGGCTCGAACGACATCTCAAGATGCTGGACGACTTCGGTGAACCGTACGCACTCGCAATCGTCGCGTACGCACTCACGTTCTCCAAAGCGCCGAGTTCTGAACACGCGTTTAGGTTGTTGAAGAAGCGGCAGCGATCTGAAGGTAAGTTTGAGATGGCAATGCATGAGGTGTTGATATAGAAGCTCGAATATACAGGTGAAGCCGGTTGTAAACGATGTTAACCAACAGGTTTTTCGACATTTTGTTTAAAAGTTAACAAATGTTGAATGAATCCGGGATGAGTGGCTAGTTTATAATGAATGAATTTTAATAACTTGAACTTATATCTTATATATAAAATTCTTGTGTCACAACGTTAGTTACTATGCTCCTACGAAAGGGCTTCACTGATTTTTCTGAAATTTTATATACATATTCAGTAGGTCTGAGAATCGGCTATCTATTTTTCATACCCCTAAGAGCTGTCCCCTAACATTACTTATTGGACATTTTTTATTTATAATGTGGCATTATAAAATACATACAACTCTAAATTTTCACTCTTCTATCATCAATCCCTATTTTTTAAGCTTCATATGTCAACTAGTAAAATATAAAAATTATGAAAAGCCACCCTTATTAGGTTTGTTTTAATTTATTTTTCTTTCCAGGCGGTTTAGTCTACTGGGGCAAGGAGCCGGTACCCCAACCGCCATACAAAATGGAGAATCAGAAGCCGTTCCTACTGCCGCGGTTACCGTATAAATACGACTCGAACAATATAGCGACGACGGCGTACGCGCTGCTAGCTTGCATGGACCATCAGGATAACAATGAGCCAATAGTGATGTGGCTCAACGCGCAGAGACTTAAAGATGGCGGATGGGCGTCCACACAGGTGAGTACTATTATACAATTATGAATATACACATCTATACATATAAATAAAATTGGAATGTGTTTGTAATATTGAAATAACCGTTTTTACTACATGCATATGAATATAAATATTGAACAACATTTAACCAAAACAACATTTTGCGTAAGAAGGGCACAGGCCCTTCATAAATGATTTATCTATCTATATACAGATATAGATAGATAAATAATTTATTTGCTCCTTTCAGCACGGTAGGGAAATAATTAATAAAATAAATAGAAATGATTTAATCAGCCGCTGTAGCCGGAACAGACCTGTCCTGTCATATTGCACTCAAACATTAGAGTTAGCATACCTATTCATGTATATGCGACCATTGTAATTTGTCACCTGGATTACCGTTAACTTGTTTAATTTATACTTAGTAAATAAAAAAATTTACCTTTAGTACACATCTTTATACCTACATAAAAATAAATGTTGGTTTTTATGTGTTTCTCTCTGCAATAATGGAAAGGTGGTAGGCTTGCCTTCTGCCACTTTATGACAATATTATTTTTATTCTTCACCAATTACTATCTAAATATGTAATGCTGAAAAATATTTATTTAAAAGAGATACATAAGTTTATGATACACAAGTTTCTTTCTCGTTTTTCTTGTAATGTGTCTGTTCTCAGAATGAGCTGTAGAATAAAAAGTATATTATATGACTAGTTAAAAATGGCTATATTAAGTTTATTTGAATAAAGAATATTTTGAAATCTTCAGCCAGGTTTATTTGAATAAAGAACATTTTGAAATTCGTCATCCAGGTTTATTTGAATAAAGAATATTTTGAAATCGTCAGCCAGGTTTATTTGAATAAAGAACAGTTTGAAATTCGTCATCCAGATTTATTTAAATAAAGAACATTTTGTATTTCGTCATCTAGGATACGTATATATCAATGCGAGCGCTGATCGAGTACACGAACCGGAAGCGGCTGCGTGACGTCAGCTCGCTGGCGGTGACAGTGGACGCCGTCGCCCTGCACGACGGCACTCGTAACCTGCATGTTGCTAATGACAATCTCGCCATCATGCAGAGCATCGACGTGAGTAGATGTTATGAGATATTTCTTTACTTCCGATTATTTCCCGTTCGATTCCTCGCACAATCCAAACATAAGTATAATTCAGTATTGTAAGAGATATGTTTTTCTATGCCAAATATTTGGTGTTTGAAAACTATTTTTAACTGTTTTGGGTACAATACCCAAGGAAGAAAGTGTAATAGGCGTAATATGTGCAGTTTCGGGTAGCCAATGTGTCTTTACCTATTGCAAGATCCTGGTATTTTAAAACTTTATCTAAGATGTTAGGTTGTATGTTGTGTGTTTAGGTACAACTATATCTATAAGGTGTAATGTGATATCTGGTGTATTGTAGTGTGGGATTATGGTCATATCTCAGTATAGTTCACAATTTAGTTTTTCTAAAACTGTTTTGGGTCTTTATTTATAGTAAGACTAGCAGACTTGGCTACGCGTTGCTCTGGCTAAGATTCTTGAATAAAATAATATACATATAAATTCAGATTTATGCTATCCTCTAGTATATCTTTCTAGTTGGATTAAATTGCACACATTTATTTAAGTGCAAATCAAATTTGCAATCGGTTTAGTAGTTTAGAGTCCATCTCGGACAAACAACGTAATTTTTATATATAAAGATTGGTTACCTTGTATTATTATTATTACTAGCTACGGGCCCAGGCTTTGCACGGGTGTACATGTATTATATAAACCATCCTCTCGAATCACTCGTATCTATATTAAAAAAACTGCTTCAAAATCCGTTGCATAGTTTTAAAGATTTAAGCGTACATAGGGACAGACAGCGACAGTGACTTTGTTTTATACTATGTAATGATTGTTATTGTAGCTTTTGCTGGGTTTTATTATGATTATTATTATGATATTGATCTGTATATAGATCCCGGAGGCGTGGGGCACTGTGAAGGTGACAGCGCGCGGCGCGGGTTTCGCCATCCTGCAGATGTCGGTGCAGTACAACGTGGACATCCCGCGCTTCCAGACGCAGCCGCCCCTCGCAGCCTTCGAACTACTCGCGCAGCCGCTGCGGTACTACGGCAGGAACCAGTCGCACATCGAGTTCCAGACATGTGCCAGGTATTACACGTGCAACTAGCCATCTGTGCCCAGTTTGTCCGGATAGAGCAGTGTTTCCCAAAAAGGAGCCCACGTCCTTGAAGGGCAATTCGAAAATGAACTCACGAGAGGACGACACGAGTTTGACCCTTTCGCACCGGGCCATTTATGCAATATTAGATTTCGGTGCGAAATTTAATGAAAAAAGCAAGTTATTAAATAATTGTTTTATCAATAAATTCATATAGAAAATCTTCATTAAAATTATTTGGAATTTTAATTTCAGTTTTGGTTACGACTAGATAAGGCCATCTAAATTATCCAGGGTTTTATGAATGATATTATGGTGCACCTGTCTACGCTAATGGTTTAAGCTGGTGGGGCACCAGTGGAGAATGATAGGATGAATTAGGTCTGAGTTGATGAGAGAGTAAAAGAAATTTATCATGAGAGTTCCCAGGGGAAACCACGTGAAGGTCGACCTGACATGGTACATAGCTAGTAATAGGATATGTCTACATTACTAATAATCTCCTTCCCACTCTAATTATCCAGTATACACCAACCTTGTATTGATGAGTATGTGTTGTTTGGACAGCTGGACCCTGGTGGAGGAGTCTCCGCGGTCTGGCCTGGCGGTGATCGACGTGGCGATCCCCACGGGGTACATGATCCAGCAGCAGCGGCTCGACGCCTACGTGCTCTCACGGAGGGTGCCCACGCTGCAGCGTGCCAAGTATCTGCCCACCAAGATCCTCTTCTACTTCGAATATGTTAGTATTCTTCTCACCCACCCGTTATACTCGTGAACTTTGCAGCTTGTAGGGACTGGCCTGTTCTGATGACTATGACTGATATATTTTATTACTCAAATAATTATGTATTTATTTATTAAAGGAAAACCAAGGCTATTCAAGTACATCTTAAATAAAATCAATATATACGTCATAATAAGCCACTGACAGGCTTTCACTAATAACAATAGACTAATTCTTAAAAAATTTACATCACTATGTATAAAGGCAACAACACATTATAAAGTTAACAGAGAATATCAAATTAATTGACAAGAGTACAGTAACAAATAGTGAATTTATAGAAATATATACATATACATGATTTTCAATAATAATTAATTGTTATTTAAAGAAGGGCTCACTTAGTTGGTGTCTCGCTGATATAATATTATTACAAAATATATGACAACTTTGCTATTTAGCAGTTTGTATTCATACAGAATTCTTAAAATATGTCATTCTGATCAGAACGTATTTAAAAGAGCAACGCGAGCTACTAGATTGTGATGAGTCTGCGTTCCGAATGAGTGGTAGAATAAAACATATGACTATTCTAAAGTGCTTCCATTAAGTTTATCTGAATAAAGATTACTTCTAGATTATTTCTTTGAGTTACTGGTATAAATATATATGAAGGTCCAAGTAATTATTATTATGCTTCATTTTCACAGCTTTTTTGCTGGTTTTCTATTATTATTAATGTATATTATGTATGTAATTTTAAAAATGTATCTATCAGTTGTTAGCGGCAGTGTCCAGTTACAGTATGTCATAAAGTTCTATTATCGTGCACTAATATTTGAATTTTATATCCATGTTCATATAGTTGAGTTCGGAGCGAACATGCGTGAACTTCACAATCGAGCGGTGGTTCCCTGTCGCCAACATGTCGCGGTACCTGCCAGTTCGTGTCTACGACTACTACGCGCCAGGTAATACATATATTATTATGTTCTCTTCTCTAAATAATAAAAAATATAAGTATAAATAAAATTAATAATTCAATTGTCCCCATGTATGGCACTACGTTTAGCAATTTAGGTTAAGCAGTTCTTAATGTATATTCACCCTATAGGCTTTATTCCAGTCACCTGAAGGTTTTTGCCCCCATTGTAGATACCGGGGCAAAGGGGTTCGCCCCGAGGCCAGAAAGTAAGAAATAAATGCATGTGTTAAATGATGATTCCAAAACATTTAACATTTATTCAAAAGAGCAACACTAGTTTCTTGCTCATTCTTCTTATGATGAATCTGCGTTCCGAATGAGTGGTAGAGTAAAAAAATATGACTATTCAAAAATGCTTGTATTGAGTTTATTTGAATAAAGATAATTTTATTTCTGGATTTTCATTCATTTTATATTTATGCATTTTTGTCATATTGTGTATTACATTTTCTTATTAAATTAAATAAAATTTGTCCCCAGAACGATATAACGAATCGATCTTCGACGCGTTACCGACATACCTACTAAATATCTGCGAAGTGTGCGGCTCGTCCCAGTGTCCGTACTGCGCGATATACAACGCCTCGCCGCGTATCGTCGCCACCGCACCTCTACTATTGCTGGCCGTCATTGTAACACTCACACGGTATATTCGAACGCAACTGAACTTTCATTTGATTACGTAGTAGAAAGACATGATCTGTGTATGCAATAGTCTACACTAATATTATATGCGTGAAGATCTGTTGTGCCTTGTTTGCGATGTAGGATATAGGCTATTTTACGATGAAGTTTTATTGATAAAATTCCCTGTTAAAAAGCAGTATTTTCAGTAGGCATACACTTGATTATCTGATACCCATTATCATTCTGGATCATGATTTCACTCGGCCTATTCATCCGTCTTGACATATTGATTGTCATAGGAATTAAGTGGACCCTGATCATTTGTGATTCATGTATTATTTCAAAATTTGTCTTATATACTTTTATATTGAGAATATAGCCATATAATTTACGCGGCCGGTCATAAAAAACTGAAGCCAAAACCATCCCCTCGTAATATAAATAACGAGATGACAAAGCAAACAGGCATGAATGGAAGAGAATAACATATTACGCCGACCACAAATCGATGAGATAACCAAGAAACGAAGATGATGTTTGTCATATAATTTACTAAAGTGACAGTCGTGTGACTGCAGCGGGAACAAAATGACTATTAATAAAATAAAAAAAATACAATAAATGTGTATATTTCCCAAAAGAGCTCACAACACTACAGGACTAACAACAAGAAGTAACTAGTCAAAGGTGACAAAAAACAGATATCAAAAATATAAAATTTATAAAAAGAATGGTGTCAGCAATGCTGTCAGCAACAAGTGGCTGTTATAGTCTAATGATGTAATGACAAACATCATTATAATATAGTAACGGTTCATTCCGATTTCACTTACATTGACTACTTATAACATTCTATGTAATAAGTAGTCTATATCGGTCTGGAATAATATACTTATGAAATGGTGAACCATTTTTACAAATTCAGCGGTTCTGTTGATTGCATCTGCATACACGCAAATTTACAAAATGAACACTGTTTATAATATTAGTGTAGACAATATATTTGTGTGTAATATAAAGTTTTACAACTAAATATATGTATATGCATACCTACTACAGAAATTACAAACTTTGGAAAATTCACTCTAAAGTTTTATCTTTAAAGTCCAATTCATCTCGTTCGTTCATTCATTCATTCGTCCATAAATCTGATATTTTTGAGCGAATCCAGAGTACTAGATGTGCTATATAATATTTGTCATACATGGTTAGATAGTGACATGATTATGTTTCTATATTTATAATATACAAAACATAGGGCAATGTTTTTGTATTTTTGAGCAAATTGTATTCTAAAATAAAATACAAACAACATACATTGGTGGATTGTATGTTTTTCGTTTCCAAGTTAACCAAAGTTTGAATGTGAAATTATTGTGTGCCTGCTCTTGTTCTATTTAGACTTTAGAAATATTTGATCTTTCATAATTGGTAAAAAAAATTGAATCTCTAAATATCTCTTTACATAACAATGTGTGCGAATTAGAAATTAATCATTATTGTCAATATACAAATTGTGAATTTTTAATTTAGTGTGTATGTTGTTTCTGTTACTAACCACCGTTTAGTTTAACAATAATTTCTAATGAGTTACTTGTCATTTGGAAATGTATTTAATATTAATAGTGTTATATACGAATTATATATTACGAGATCAGTAATAGAGAAGTAATGAATATTGCTACTCAAGATTATTGTTACCAATAGATCACAATAAAACAGGACAATACTTTAAAGTTGCCAGGGTTGAGTATTTAAAAAAAGAAATTGAAATTCCAATTTCAAAAATTTCAAGATTCTTATTTTAAATTTTAAGGATATGATTATTATTTCTGAATAGATTCTATGATAACCTTAAACGTTCTGTCAATCCATGTCTGAAATTAGAGCGTTTTAGAACGAAACATGGAGGAGGAAAAAAATATATTACCAAATTGACTAAATAAATCAACCTAAAAGAGAAAAAAATTGATCCTACATATCCATGGGCTCTGGTTTATGAGAGAACTTTCAGTGTAAACTAACCTAACTCCTCTAGTGTTATTGATTCCATTCCAATTCTTTAAGATTTCTTTACAAACGATCAACCAATAATTTAATGATGATTTTATAGGCTTAGTAACTGAAGAAAATATTATTGAGTGGTTTGTTGTTTTCTGTTAAATTTCAAATATTGTATTTAGAACAGACTGTATATGCAATGCCTGATTATTTTTTTTGTACAAACATTTCTTAGGCTTAGTCCTCAATTTTCACATTAAAAATAAATTCCTATTGTCCATAAATTCCCTCACACGTAGTCAGGGAGAAGGAGGGAACCATAATGTGTTTCAAACCCATTCTTTGACAAGGGGTGAGAATTTTCTTAACATCTTATTTCAAAATCTAACATATCTATGCATTTAGTGGATTGCAAAATATGTATTAAGGACCAGGGGAGTCTTACAAATGGGAGTCTTAAAAATGAGAGGAGGAGTTAAAAGAAGTCATGAAATTCATATTAAGTTTTATGGATGACCCCTAGCACACGCGTTGCTGTGGCTCAGTAGTTTTAATGTTGGTGTCAATAAAACTACCCTCTTTTAAGGTGAACCAAATGACACACAGTTCTACAAATTTCATAAGATCCCGAGATTTATATATGTAGGTAAATAAGGATAAGATATTTGTTTTTTGTAGTGACCAATGGACAGGTTGGACTATTTTTGTATTGTGTGTAACAATGCTGTTCTGGTAACTATGTGTTTTCTTATTGATGATGCAGTATCATAGTTTGGCAGCTATTAAAGACAAAAAGACATTTTTCAATGACGCAAAAACCGTCATTCACCATACAATTGTCTATGATATAGTATCTTATGAAATATACTTTTTTCTATTTGCAACCACCTCCAGCTGTCATATTATAATACTTAATCCATTTCAACTGTACAAATGTTATATCAACTGTTCAAGAGCAAAACTAAGAATATTGTAATATTTGACAGTTTTTTGCCCATCTCACTTTCATGGCCGATATCAAAGGATAATCAATTTTAATAGATTTTACCTTAAAGATATATTTTTCTCTCATTACAACTCAGCTAGTTTAATCAGAGCATCTTTTAACATGTTTCTTTTGTTGGAAACTTTTCTATCTACTTTGTAAAGTTCCATGACTTGACTGCGCTGTAATTTAAAAGAGTTTTATCTTTTTATTACAGTCTCTGAGATTACAGTATCTATATGTGGACACGAGTTGCTCTTATATAAAAATTGTACTTTTATATTCGCCCATTTATTTACATGTGCATATCAAAATAATACCACCATATCAATTTCAATCTATGAATCTACAAATATATATACTATATAATAGCATACAATGCAAAGATGTCAATTCTAAATCTACAATTAATATTATTGAGATATTATGTATTATTTTGGTACATAAAAAACCCAATGAATCTACACTCTTAATTTTATATTTCTGTGTAAATATTGTAATGTATATTGGGTGTAGCTGTAAGTTTAATTTAGAGTTTAAAATAGAATATAAATATGTAAATGACAGTACTTGAAAGTTAATTGAGAATACATTATGTCAATCATTATGCCTTATTAGTATGAAGACAATATGAGGAATTGATGAATGTCGCAAAATATATTAGAGTATTTTGTATACAAAAAAATATTTATTATTGTTTTTATATATTTAGATCTGTAAGATTTTTCCTTCTTTGTAAAGATGACAATTATATTAATTTAAATTCTATGACACTATTTTTAAAATGGTTACTTATATCAGATCAAATGGAATATATATATATTTATATACAGTGGAATGAAAATGATAATATTATAGTACCTGTAAATGTCTGTCCAAACATTGCCATTGTAATGAAATTTGATAATAAATTAATTATGTAGGTATAAATATGTAATAAAATGATTTGTGACCTTTATAAGAATCTCAAATAGATTTAAAATAAAAAATAAATAATAAAAGAAATTGAGTTGTGTGCAACTTGTATCTTGTTACTTAAGTAGTTTCCGTCCAAATTACCAATGACTGATTTTTTTTATTATTTTTGTATTATGTATTTGTGTGTAATGTTTTGTATGAGTTGTTACATTATGTAGCCGTAATGTTAGAAGGGCAGTGAAATCTCATTATAGATTTATAATAGATTTATTTCCAAATAAAAATCTTTCAAGTAATATTATTTTTTATTTCAATACATATATTAAAACAGTGTTTTTACCAATGTATTGGAGCATATTCATATTGACTAACAACAGGACAGACATAATGAATTGTCAGCAAATTAAAGCATGCAAAAAGATCCAATCCAGATGGTATTAGTCATAACTTTTCCAAATATCAGATTTCTGCTTATTTTTATTTTATATACATACATTAATGTTAAAAAAGAATATCTTTAAAATTATATAGATGTACATTTTTTTCTAACTAATATGGAACAAGCTCCAATGTGTAATTTATTCAATAAAAAATATGAATTAGACTTTAGAAAGTTATGTATGTTTATCCAGATTTAGTAATATAGATCAAGTAGCAGTCTGGTAATGCTAATAATAAAACAAAGACTACAATATAACAAAAGTAAACACATTTTATTTATAAATAAAATCTATCCCTACATCACAAATATTTTACAATTAAATTATGACACTATTGCTTCTTTTTCACTTGTTTGGCTTTAGCACTGGCACTGGCTGCTTTGGCTGAAGAGCCACCACTGAATAGTGAAGTAAACATCTCAGACATTTCTGGCATGTCAGACATCTTGGCCAAGTTACTGATCTGTTTTAAGTCCTCTTTTGTCTCTGGATCGTTCATCATCTTTGGCAGAACCATAATGAGCAACAGTGGGAGTACCATCATGATCACCATGGGGTTGAACATGAAGTCGGTGAGACGCCACTGTTCACGTACTTGGAAATAGCGGAATTTCGTGAGTACCTTCATTCGAAGTGGATACTGAACTTGTATTACTTGTGAAGTTTGTATGTAATTCAGTTTCCTGGCTCGGTACTTGCCTTTGGAGTTGATTTCAACGCGAACTGGCTCGTACATGTAGTCTGGGTTAATAACTTCAACTACGTAGGATCCCGTTGGCACATTATGTATCACAAAAGTACTATCTTCCCTTATGAAACCTATGTACTCTCCTCCGTTCACGTGGATGCGGGTGTCCACTTGCCAGCTGTGCAAATTTTGGTCATCAGGGGGATACACTCTTCCTTCAATCACATATCTGCCATTGCCTACTTCTTCTTCGACAGGATTGTTGACGCACTGTGTAGTGCCAAATAGACCTAATGTTAATATGATTATTAGTGCACCAATCATTGTAAGATCGTTCCACTTATTATTAATATATAAATTAAGGATTAATTTCAATGATAATGAATTTTATTTTCATAACATGAATTAATATAAAGATAACGTCAAACGAAGAAATCGTTGATTGGACAATTTTGACATCTAAATCATCCGACAGAAGACTGTACAAATAAGGATTCATTCATATGTCGATGTTTTGTCATCCAAGTTTGCCGACAGGGAAGGGATGCTAACCGTACGTGAATTCTTGAACGGGTAACAAGTCTTTTGGTCTACTGTACTAGGGTATTATGCTCATACAAGTCTCAAGTACATCTATACAATTTTTAATAGGTATCCAAATATCCGTATTATTTGGACAGCGTTTTTTGTCTGAATTAAAAGTCAATTTAAAAAGTGCAGAATAGTGTCTCACGTGAAGTGTGCAGTTCAGACTTATAGTTTACTTTAAATCAACAGATTGTTATGTGTAAATGACTTGTATGTACAAAGTTCCCTTTTCCTGACTTTTAAAAAATATGAAGAATCAATAAAACTATGTTATTAACCTTTATAACATGGTGGCGCCATCTTCGTTGAGTTTGGAACTTTAACTATGTATAGACTATAGAGTTATATACACAATCTAATGCGTCATAGGGAAAACCGGTTTCTGAATATCGATTATTTTCAAACGCTAACGTTCCAATCTACCAAAAAAAGATACAATACGAAATTATTCCTTGTCTATGGAGGTTTTTGTAAACAAAAAGGTATTTGATTCAGCTACATGTGCTTTTCGTGTTGATTATTTGTTGTGAAAGACATGCTGTTTATATTGTGAAAGTGGAATATAATTATAATGTCCGGATATTTAGAAGTGAAGTATCCGTTCAGGTCAAATCCGTTTAAGGTACGTTGTGTAAGCTGATAATAACTGAAACGACTTTGAGTCTGCTTACTGTACGATTTCATTGATTTGTTTGTTATTGGCAGTCATGGAAGCGACAATGGTGCATTTTGCGACCGAGCCCAACTTGTACGGGTGGCGGGTCTCTGGCTGTTTACTGCAGTGAGGCAGGGGCTCCCGCTGGAACTGTAGAATTGCCCGCTGACTCCATTGTACGAAGGGCAAAGTCTCGGACTCGCCCTAATGCTTTCGCCGTGTTTTCTATTGACGAACCTCGTAAGCCGCGAATTTTGCTCGCGGCACAGTCTTTGACCGAGGCTAACAACTGGATGGAAAAAATACGTACTCTTTTGGACAGCAACAAATTAATAGGTGGGTACATCAAGTCTTTTAAACAAGTTCAAAGTTCAATAGGTGTGTCATAGAAAATTTACATGGATTATTTGTCTATTTATTTTTTTATGACTGTGTAAATGTCTATGTACAACATTTTTCTTCTATTCAAACTACTCAATTGTAGTTTAAAGTAAGTTAATTAGATGTCTATTAGATAATATGGACTTAAAACACAATTGGGAGGTAGGTAACATTATTATTTCATACTGTTATATCACTAACCAGCTTAATTAACATTTACTTCCAATTAGTGAGGTTTAGTTCAATTGTTACTATTATGTAAAGCAAATGGATTTTCTGTATTATTACAATTCCAAGTATAACAAATATAATTTAATTGTCATAATTTATTAAATATTGATCATTATTTGATTGTGATTTTGATATATAGAATATTTCAAAATAGTACTTAGGAAGGCAAATACTATTTTAATTTCTAATTTATGGCCGTTGAGTTGTTTTTTTTTTACTAACGTAAACAAATTTAAAAAGATGAGGAATGTTTGTTGATGTAAGCAGAATAACTCGACAAAATTTCACCAAATATTATGAATCCGTCCTTGCTTTTGCTTCTATGAATGTATATATCATCATTATACTGTAATTGAATGTGTTTTTTTTGCGATTATTATAATTATTAAGTAACATAATTATATTACTATTCTATTACATTTAAGCAACCAGGTATATCCAGAAAATATAACCATGGATACAAAGTAATTATGTCATAGGTCTTTCATCTATTACTTCACTCTCTTATGTTTGAGACAGATTTGAAATTCACAATTTTTCAATCATTCTAAAATTGTTCATATCCGCATAAAATATGAATAATTTGACAGTTCTAATATAGTACTATTCACAGTGGATGGTCTGGAACTGACTTTCTTATATTTTTGTTGAGAGTATGGGCTATTGTTGATGCTAAGACTTGTAGCACTGAGACTTTCATAGATCTATTGTGCTCGCCCCTTTTCAAAGGATAACTAGAGGATAGATTGTATACATTCCAAATTCCATATACATGAGTGGGCTACAGTAGTGGCAATTCCTCCTCAGCTTAGCAAAATCTGTGTATTTTTGTTGAACACAGGCCTAAGTTTGCCACATATTTATTAAATTCAATGGAACTGACACTGTCATATCGTACATCCATAATCGCAAAGCTGTAAATATCATGCAATTTCAAACACTAGTATATGATAGAACACAATGTCACATTACAATATTAGTTATGTTGTCTTTGGTTACAAATGAGAATTGTTAGTAATGAAGCTCAATACACTATACAATGCCCCATATATCAGTCTGTAGACCAAACACACTACTTTGATGTCCATATATACAATGCAAATATGCTGTGTGCATTTAAAATGCAGGAATGGCTGGCAGCCCACTTTTGTAATGGGCCATTGTGTTCTAATGCATATTAATCTATATTTTACGTCCTAGCCCTTTTATAGTAAACAGGAAAACTGTTTAATATTATAAACATTAGTTACCTGTCCCAACTTCCTATGGTTACAATATTAATAGTAACTTAATATGAGCACTTTTGAATAGTCATACTTTTTTATTCTACCACTCATTCGGAATGCAGACTCATCACAAGAATGAGCAAGAAACTTGTGTTTTAAATAATTTTAATCATACTTTGCATTTGGTAGTTTTTTAATTATGTGCCTGGGTTGCCTAAGGCCCTAGGCCATAGTCCACCTCTGTCCGGATATACCCATAGCAAATTCATTTATTGGTAGGGAAGGGGATTGTTAGTGATGTGAATTGAAGACCCCAATATACTATTAGGATAATTCCCCTGAAAACCATCATGATAAATTCTTAGTGAACTTGTCACGATGGGCTGACCTCATGCTCACCTTATCTCCTCCACTGGTGCCCCGCCAACGTAACCCATTAGCGTAGGCGAGTGCCCTATGCAATTATCATTTATTGTACTCACGCTTGAATGAAATAACTACTAACATTGATGTATTCATGCAAAAGTGTCATCGCATCATGCTTCTTCATAAATCCATATTTTCAGGCACCGACAGCTTGCTCAAAGACTCATACTCAGTAACGGTGATACCGACTGAGTTGTCACGCAAATGCGGACTCAACTGTGACAGTGTGCTGACGGTCTCGTCATCTGGGCTGCTAGTATCGCGAGCACACAAGCTCGGCACAGTCGTTGTCTGGAAACATATCAACGAAGTCCTACTGGACAGCGAGAACGCTGACAAGAACCGAACCTGTGTACTCACACTGGATAGGTTTGTGACATTTTTTAAACTGAGCTAACGAGTGATTTAGTAGTTTGAAATAACAGGAAGCTGGTTTGTATTTTAGTAGCTGACCCAGCAAATGTGGTTTTGCCATATAAATTAAAATACTAATATTGCTATAAATAAATAGGGGTTGGTGGTAGGTTAAAATTTGAAGTTGTGTGTATTCTTCAATAGTAAATCATAATAAATTAATAAAATATGCGAAAATAATACATTTAGGGGTACACCCTTATCATTGAGAGGTATAAAAATACAAAATTTCATAAAAAAGGAACTTTGGTTACAAACACCCCGACACGAGAATTTGATATATTAGATACTAGCTACTCGCCCCCGCTTCGCACCGGTGCACATGTATTATATACATATCTTCTTTTTGAATCACTAAATCTATTAAAAAAAACTGCATCAAAATCAGTTCCCTAGTTTTAAAGATTTAAGCATAAATAGGGACGGACAGACAGCGACAGCGACTTTGTTTCATACTATGTAATGATAAGCATTTAAATGTTTATTTTTTAAATAATAACTTCAGAAATAATCATATTTATTTTTAATAATAATGTCATAAGGAGCTTTGAAATTAAATTCTTATAAACTTTATCTTTGTTTATGAGCTATAATGACACAGACAGATAAACAGATAAAGGCATAAAAAGATCCTGTTTTTGCGTAGAAATGTAAAAAACAATATTTTATTAATCATACTTTTTATAAATAGTATTGTGTATCGTATATTTTTAAAGCGTCATAAGGACAAGATGTTTTTCTAAGAAATGCTTATTTATGAATGCACCAATGACTCAAATGTACACAAATATATGATGATTATTTTAGTTTGGTGCAGGAAAAGTATTGTCACTATATAATTACTATAATAGCTACGTGGTTATGGGGAAAACCTATCAATATTTACTAATGGAACTATTTCTTATTGGTGGTTATTTATGTAAAATATATACATATATATTGGAAACTAGCAGTTGTTGTGACTTCTTGAAATTCAACTTTTCTTTAATTAAAATAAATAAGATTTCTATAGCCTAAGCTATATGCGAGTGAAAGTCTCATCAAAATCGGTCCAGCCTTTTCAGAGATCAGCAAGAAATTTAAACACAATATGAATATAATATTTTTTGGAACTAATAATGTATGTAGGTAACATATTTATTTGTAATTTCAAATTAATGAATTAATTTGAAAATAGGAATAGTATTTGTTTTATTTGTACGTATAAAATAAATGTATATAGAGTGATTCTTATGTTTTCTGGATGATTAGTTTTAAATTAATTGTTACTTTGATAATTTTCTACAAATTTATAATATATGGATATTCCATGCTATGTTCAAATATAGAAGGTACTTATATTTTTTGCCTATTATAATTATATTTATATGCATGCACGCTTCTATCATTGCATTATTCATCACATTTGTACTAATACTTTTATGTACTATTTAAAGGACTGTATACATAAAGCTACGGAAAGAGACGGGCGTTTAGAATCATCCGATGTTTCTATTGCAATTGACTCGTGATCGGTAAATTCATCATCTGCTAATTGTCTATGCCCTCTTATTGTCAAAGGAGTTTATAATTTATTTTCATTGTATTATGGATTATATTGCATTAACAGCGCCCGCCAGTTCTCTACCGTCGTATTATGTACAGTCCTTGTATAAAATGTAATTCTAATATTTATTACAATTTTGTGTAGACAGGTAACTTCGAAACGATTTAATTTAATATTTAGTTTAATTTAAGTATACGACTCTGTAGTATATCTGTATACGAATCTGTTAAAATAAAAATTGCAATAGTATTTCTAATTTCTAAATCAAACTAAGATTTATGTGCAATTTACAGTGACTTTACAAATGGGGGCGGTGAGCTGAAGTTCTCCAGCCCACTGGCAGCGGAGCTGGTGGCCGCTCTGAAGCAAGGTCTCGCAGACAGCAGACCAGCAAGAGTTGCCAAAAAGCTAAGCAAGAGTGAGGGAGATCTACGCTCACCCAAGTGCAGTGACCCTGACATAGGTACGAAATAATCTTTATTGAAATAAATTAATATAAGCACTTTTGCATAGTCACATTTTTTTTATTTTACCACTCATTCAGAACGCAGACTCATTACAATAAAAATGAGCGAGAAACTTGTGTGTTGCTCTTTTAAATAAAGTTGTTCTAAGTACATACATTAACTAGGATTAGGCACGTGACAATCAACATAGAAACCGATACGCACATGTAATGTATCATGTAATAATAGTAAATAAGAATGTTAATATGCTTGTATGACGTTTAATAAAGCGCGTCGCTGGTCGCGCGTGAAAGAACATGTGTAAAGCTATAAATCATATGAATCACTCGCGATTGCGGGCGCTGACCATCCGGGCCGAATTGCGGGCGCTTCTGATCACGTCTAGAAGAACGTGTCGTGTAAAGGCAGCTATAAATCCAAAGAATCCCTCGCGGTTGCGCGCGTTGACCATCCCGTGCTGAATCGCGGGCGCTACTGATCACGTCAGAACGAACGCGTCGTGTAAAGGCAGTTTTATATTAAAACATCACTCGCGATTGCGCGCATTGACTTTATCGCACTATATTGCGGACGCTCCTAATCGCGGCTGAAAGAACGTGTCGTGTAAAAGGAGCTTTCTGATCGCGCCAGAAGGAACGTGTCGTGTAAACGCAGCTATAAGTCAAAAATACTTCCTTGTTTAATCGCGGCCGTTTCTGACCGCGACGGAAATAACGTGTCGTGATAGCTATTATTAGTAATATCCTCCATGCTCAATAGTTTATATTTGTAGGTGAGGTGCGCCGCAGCAGCTGGTATAGTGGCCCTTCGGAGGTGTCTCTCGACGACCTTGATCTCGTTATGTCTAAGGTTAGTGATGCCTTAATTGTCATTGTTTATATTTATGTGACTGATACTGCTCATCCTCTAGGGGGTGAAGGTTGGGGCCTCGGGGTCTCCTTTGCCCCGACATCTAGTCCGGGTAGTTGGAGTTAGGTCTCTTAGAGGGGGAGTAGCAACCCCGGGTTGTTAGAGTTAGGTCTCTTTGAGGGGATTACTTAAGAAACTAACAGAATACAAACTTAATCTAACTTAAGACGTAGTGCTATACTTGGGGACATTTTTTAATGCAGTATATTATTAATCATATAATACTTATGTATGTGAAATATATTTACTAATAATTACTACAGTTTGTAACGTGCAATATTATTTATTGGCAGGAATCGAACCGCATACCCAGCGGGCAGTTATCCCGTTGCAGCGGCGCCGGCGACCTCGGTCCGTCGTCCGTGGCTCGCTCCGCCTTACTCCTGCACACTTGTGCCATTCAGTCTTTGACTTCTCTTGATGACAAGTAAGTTTCTAGTTTTTTTTTATTGCAATATTAACATTTCTGTTGGGAATTGAAATAGTCTTTATTCAAATACACTTAATATAAGCATATTTTTTTATTCCATCACTTATTCGAAACGCAGACTCATCACAAGAAGAATGAGTTTCGTAGTTCTACCTAAAAAATGACGATAGTTTCATACAACCTTTCATCTCCGCTTTCAACCCCTTACAACCTATTTTTACACTAAAAAGTAAAAGCCTATGTCTTTTCTCAGGGTTTAGACTATCTGTGTACCAAATTTCATTGAAATTTTATATATAAAACATTTGGTACAGCAGCTAGTACTATAGCGGTATATAGTACTATAGTGCTCGCGGCTTCACCATAAAACATATAGCCTATATGTTATGCTGATGCATAAGCTATGTTACTGTAAAGTTCTAAAAAAAATCCGTTCAGTAATTTTTAACAGACATAAACTTTCTCTTTTCTATATTATAAAGATTTTATAGAAGGATATCGCCCACAGCATGTCGGACCGTCGTTCCATCGCATCGGTAGCTTCGGGGATCTACGAGGAGATCGCTGAGGTCCCGGCCGAGGGCGGTGCGCCGGCCGACGAGCCCACCTACGAGTCGGTGGCCGAGTGCGTGTACGCAACCATGCGGCGCGCCCCAAGACGCGTGCCTCCGCCCCCGCTACCACCGCGGTTGCCCTTCGGGTATATATTTTTTAATCCAATTTAAAACAATAAAACCTTCGCATTTAAAAAAAAACAAGATTCTTCAATATTACTCTGTGCTTCTGATATTTATACTAATGTGGAATTGATTTCAATTCAACATTAGTATAAAAAATAAGATTCTTCACAGTTTCTCTATGCCGTTTAAACGGCTGAATAAATTTGAATTAAATTTTATATGAAGATAGATTGTATAACGCGGACTTCAGAGATTGAGTAATGAGAAATTCTTTGGATACTTAATTGAATCTTATATTGTATTATTACAGGAAAATAAATAAATATATTAACATTAACGAGAAACACTCATGTACACAAACAACAAAACAATGCCATGCGTAAATCGATAAAATATATTTATTTAACTCTGATAGACCATCAAAGTTGGGTGAGTCGTGGAACTGCCGCGTGCAGTCGGGTAGTGCGGTCACCCGGCACGGCTCGCTGGGCTCGTTGCCGCGCTGCTGCAGCCTCAGCTCCGGCTCAGAGGCATCATCAGCAGCCTCGGGCTGCGAGGGCCGCCTCTTGCCGTCCACGGCGAAAACCTTGCCCAAATTTGACAAGACTAGACAGCCTTTTAGTGTATTCCGGTGAGTAGACATTACGTTACGTTATGTAAAAGATGACTCATTTGAACAAGAAGAATAAGAATAATTTCTCGACGGCCTTGGTGGTCTAGCGGTTTAGCACTTCGCCTTACTTCCGATGGTCGCAGATTCCAATAGCTCGCACGGCACACACATTTGTATTTATGAGTATGATTGTTTGTATCGGTCTGGGTGTTTTCTATGTATAATATGTATATATATATTTGTCTAAGTTATCTAGTACCCATAACACAAGCTTTAGCTAGCTTAACTTAGGTCTAGATGGCGCTGTGTGAATTGTCCTGAGATTATTATATATTTACTGCCAGTGAAATTAAGTAAAAGAAAATACATTTAAAGGGCCCAGTTCAGCGTATGCCGACAGGACGCTACTGTGCGGTGCTGGTTTTCAGCTAGTTCTATTCTGACTGGCTTTTTTATGAATTTCCATTACCATAATCACTATGATCTATTGTTTCTTCACTGCATTGTATAGTTTATTTAATTGTACTAGTTATTTCAATATAGACTTTATCATCTACAGAAAAAGACTCAAAAGTGACTCGCGCCTCGGCAGCTCCCCAAAATCTGACACATCCAAAGAGAACAAAGACGTCGAGACAAAAAAGAAGAGGTTCGACTTCACGCCCAAGCGCGACATATTCAAAAGCTTTAAGGTGAGTAGGAAGATGAAAAACTTGAAGATCACGTCGGGGGCTCTCGCCAAGGGGGAGACGAAGAGTTGCGAGTTTTTAGACGAAACAGAGCACGTGCAAGCAAACCGATGCTCCAAATCTGTCGAATGCCTCGAAGACTCAGATAAGTTTCTGGACGATTTCGAGGCCGATCTGTCTATAGAATTCAACGACGACACCGTGGCAGCTCTAGCGTTACCACAAGAAATTGTAGATTTGATACTACGAGGGCGCGATCAATTCGCCAAAATAAGGTTAAAAGATACCCCCGTGGAAGGGGATTATCTCCCCATGTCCCCGATAGTGCCGCCCCCGCCGATAGAACACCAATATATGGTGATGTCGCCTAGGACGAATCTCGCATAAATCTAGTCCTTAGTATGTAGCTTGATATATAGACAGGAAACCGCGGACACAAGCGTTACGACATATATATGGTTTTGAAAAAATATATTGTAACGATTTAAGACTCTATGGTATTGTCTATTAAATGTAATAAATTCGAAATTAGAAACTGATTATGATTCATATGCTTAAATAGTTGCAGTTTAAATTTGGAAGTGCCAATTGAAGAATTAATTACATTCGTTGAATGTATTTTGACCTAAGAACAAGTTATTGTTCTCAGATTTTGACATATAATAAATTAATTGTAGCGATTTAAGACTCGTTATTTAAATAAAATTAGAAATTAATTGCAATCCGTGTGAATTAAATCTTGAACGTTGCAGTTTAAATTTCGAACTACTTTTAAAACTTTAGGTTTAATCTATGGGTATATATTTGACAGAATGTAATTTTGACAATTCGTTTTCGCGGTTTTTTGTTTATACTCTATGGAAGTTATTGACAGCAGGCTAGTAATGATAACGACGAGGAAATATTTTTAATTGTATAAAAGATACATTGGTTCGGTCAATTGAGTGTGTTATTTGTAATGATCTCTTATTTAATTTTGCATTTCCACATTACGATTGACTGTTATGTTACGAATAATCATACAGTAATAACAAATGTACTCTCTTATACTTTAAGTTAATTGCATATATGCATTTGATATACTTCAATATTTTCTCTAACTTTAAACCCGTCATTTGATATGCTTTTTAGTTGCGATAGATTTAGTCTATGGTTAGGTGTTACCATTACGGAGTATTTGAGATATGTGATATTTTTGAGCATATTCCGGTATCAACAGAACAATTTGTTATGGATAACGGCAATCGGATTTAATGTATTTTATTTTCTAGTCTGTTTAAGGTTATAGAGTGGCATACTAAGTTGGGTATAAGTTGATTACATAATACAACTCACAGGAACCATTTAGTAGTTATGGTATTCTTCTTATTTTGAAAATCGAATACATATCTAAAACTGTATAAAAAAAAAAGTAAAAAAAATAATTGTCTAGTGCCAAAAATTATTCTAAAAACCGTTTAACTTCAAAGGACGCGTGTAAATTTAAAAGATTCTATAAAACACGATTTGTAACAATTTATCTCAAGAGTATATCCAAAGAGATCGTATAGGATAGTAAATTTAACATGTCATATTTAAAAAATCACGATTGTTCATAGAAATACGACTATTATATGATATATATTGTCGACAAATCCGTGTGGATGCAGCACAGAAGCAGTACATATATATACCGAATTCTATACTTATAAAAAATTCATATAACCGTGACAAAGAACCGAAACTCGTTTAGTACCAAACCTAAGTTATGCACACGTGAAAAACAATATTAATATATTTTTGATAGTCTATGTCGACATTATTGAGTTATAATAAGTTTAATTTGTGTAATCGTATTAAAAGGAAGAAAACATTTACAATTACGACATTTTCTATTTTAAACGTGTAAAAGACAAACACCAACATATACAATAAATAAGCCCTTATTTATAAAAACTAAAACCTACAAACTCGTTTTAACTAAAAATGTTTATTAACTATACTAGTATTGTATTATTGTTTGGATGACAACTGCGCACTGCTGTCTGTCTGTCACATATATACATAATTTTCAATTAATCTTATTAATATAAACAAAACTTCGTTTACATAGACCTCTATATAAAACGGAGATTTTTTTAACCCTCACATTGGCAGAATCGCTGTTGCCTTTACTGTGGAAGCCATATAAAATAAAAAAAGAAATAATGTATAAAACTTTAGATACTTTGAATTGACTTAAACCTTAATTAAAAGTTTTAAAGTATAATTTAGTCTGTGTTTCAAAGAAAATTAATTTAAAATTAGAATCCACATTGTCTGTCAACTAGTCGACCAAATAGTCGAATAGTTTTTGAATTTACGTACATTCGATTAATGAAGATATAAAACTTTATTTTGAAGTAACTTAAACCTCAATTACAAGCTACAAAGTATAGTTTTCTTTGTGTTTCAAAGCAAAAATAAAGCAAATTAATTTAAAATTAGAACCCACTCGGTCTGTCAACAAGTCGACCAAGTAGTCGAGTACTTTTTGAATTTATATAAAGCAAGTTTCTCATAAAACATTCGATTAATTTATTCGTTATATATATTTTTTATTTATTTAGATCTGTCTACGTATGTATATAAGGTACATTTTTCGATCAGCAAATATATGAAATTTATACATGATTATTATATGTATAATGATCATTGAACATAATTAAAATGATTTTGATGAGTTGGATGGTGGTTTAATACATTTCGCTTTCCAATAGTTATCCATACAATACAAATGTTTGTATTCATGAATATGTCTATTTGTATTGATCTGATCATGTATAATATCTGAATATATATATATATACAAAATGTATGGAATAAGTATATCCATCAGTTGTGTAGTGGTCATGATATGAGCTATTCTTCCATGCCACTAGATGACACTTTTTTTTAAATACATGCATTATATACAGTTAATCATATTCATGAATATAAATGTTTCTATTGTGTGGGTTTCGATCCAGGAACCGTCATATAACAACAGGTAAAATTAAACCAATAAATCCAATGTACTTATAACAACGGGCACGATCTAATTTTCTAAATTCTAAATTATTGTTAAATTATTACTAATTAATTAGGCAAATATTAATTTGTTTATAAATGTAAGGTGTTGATGTTCGTGTAGCCAAATTTGTAAGCAAGGCCTATTAAAATTATTTAAATTGTTAAGATTATTCAGTATTTTGTATTGTAAATGTCTATAAAGTAATTTCTATATGGACGTGTAATGAAAATTTTGCTATACGCAAGGAAATATATGTATATCTGAATGAAACGGACATTTTAGAGAAGGAAATGTTTGTAGACTTGTTTTTGTATATAGTTTATTTACACATTTGCGACGCACACGACTCGCGATTAATATTTATATAAATTTACGTTTCACGATTCGTTTATTTATTCCCGCGAATGTGTAAAATAGGCAGGCATTATGGCCGATTTACATTGGTCAAGGTTTAGCAAAGTGGCGAGTAAAAGTGCCAGTGAGTTACTAAAGAAAGAAAGAACAACATTTATTGTCAACCATTATTTTTGTTAGCAAACATACATATACTTATATATAAACAATATACATACATACATTACAATACATGTCTAATAATTAATGGTTGGCAACATGGCCGACACTCAACATTTGCCGTGACAGCTACTGTTGCGGCGCTGGTATTCTGTACCCATAAGTGATATAACTAAACAGTGATTGCAGCTAGGAAAGTGTCATCTGTGTGAATACGGCATTTCTTCAGTAACCACAATACATTGTACTTATTTGGAATGTTTACACATCAAGTTGTAAGTCTTGTCGAAAAAATAGCGCTTTCATCGCTATAATATCGCTCGCTTAATGCTAATTACCGGAAATCGCCTTTACTACTTTTAACTTTAAAGTACTTTTTCCATATATTAAAATTTTAGAGTTGATACAGTTTAGCGTAAAAAGTGCGGTATATACATAAGTGATAAAATAATGAACTGGTAAGGCTGACAATTGTAATAATAAAACTGATGTGACTATAAATATATGATAAATACTTTCGAATATATATGATGTCATTGTATTTACTGCTTGCCAGCTATACCTCTGTTATATTGATTTATACAACAGTTCTTACCTCACTTACTCGCTCACTTTGCATGTGTAAACCGGCCATTAACAGCGTGTAGATATAGCTATGGTAAACATTAATTTATCGATTTAATTATAAAACAAAACCTGTATATTGTGATGGAAGGAAATGTGACACTGCCAAAAAGAGGAGCCTTAGATTTAGGTATTTGTACACTGATTCAATATACCAAAAACATAAGTGAAACAGTGTTTAGTACGTATGAAGTAGGTAAAATATCTCGTGGGAAGAACGAAAGACTGAGGGACAAGACTAGTGAATTTTGGAAATCTTTATAAGACAGTATTAAGACGAGCTGGTACGAGCCTGTGAGGGCTTTGGGTGAACCTGCCCTGTAAAGGTCTGTGCACACTAGAAATAAGACTGACGTCACAGCGTCGTTGATTAGAGAATGATAAAAATTGATTATGAAAATTTCACGCTCTATTTATTAAATAACATGATGATTGTTTAATTTATCTTCGTACATTAAAATATTTGTATGATTTAATACTATACGAGTACGTAACTAAAATAACAACAGATACTAATGTATTGTAATGTACGAAACTTCTTCATTTATCGTCACCGAATTGACATAAGTAGAATGCGTATCTCTATACTATTCGAATTGAATCGATCGATTAAACGATCTAGACCGCAAAATACGTCACGATTAGTCGATTTATTTGAATTTAAAATAAGAATCGATTACAATTCATAATCATCGCCCGGATCATAGCAATTCTGTGTCAATAAATGGAGGATATATTAATGTTCGAATGCGAACTAATAATTAATTATTACTTAATTTAATTGATGATTTTCATGTATTTCTTTTTACGGATTAATTGAGTGTGTTATTGACTATTTCCTTGTGATTATGACGCTAGAAATAATGCGGAGAAATGTATGTACAAGTGTGTTCAGACCTAAAAGCAGCTTATTTTCATTGTATACGGTTTAATTTGCGCTAATGTGTTGTGATATTTATATATAATAAATTGTTATATAACTATAAGCTTCATAGCTTCTGTTGATTTTGTCGAACTTCTATTGACTGCGTTGTATCCAAGTGTTGGACAAATATAGCAAATGTTTGATGTGTTATTTTGTATTTGTATTGTCCAATGTTTGTGTATATGTCGAAGTGGATGCATATTGGTCCAATGCAGAGATGTTTGTATATCTAATAATATCTGGTTCGCTTTGACCAATATCTCACTGATCATGTACCTATTCAAGAAGTTTGAATATAAATGGAGTTTGTAAGATGAGCATAGAATTGTTGCCGATAGTAA